ATTTGTATATCATGCACCCTTAGCAAAATGCTTAAGTTAGAAACCTACCTGTGGTATAGCTGCCATGAAATAGCCTGAGGGTGGAGCAGGCTGATATGGGTTGAGGACCGGGTTGGGTACAGCACGGACAGTGGCCATTCTCTGCATGTACTGGTTGGTTAGATGGGCCTGACGTTCCTCCTTCCGCTGAGCCAGGGCCACATACAGTGGCTTTGTAGCCACAATACGTCCATTCATCTCTGTTACAGCTTTAGTGGCCTCTTCGGGGGAAGAGAAGCACACGAAGCCAAAGCCTTTGCTGCGTCCACCCTCCATCATCACCTATGGAAGAAGAGAATTTATTACAATAATTCATTGCTTTTTTAAGCACCTTAAAATTACATGAAAAGATTTTTAAAACAGAAACATCAGCAAAAAAATAGTATGAAATATTACAGATGTCGTATTTAAGCCTTTACCTTAGCACTTGTTATGGTTCCAAATGGAGAGAATTCTTTGCGCAGACGCTCATCATCCAGGCCATCATCCAGGTTTTTCACATACAGATTGACACCCTGATATATTGAAAACATTAAGATTATGAGATTATTATGTTTTGGGACTAAGAAACAAAATAAAGTGTAAGTGAAATCAACTCTGAAGTCTTGTAGATTCAAACTAGTCAAAATGTATTTGGATGGCAGCTCAATATTTATGGGACAGCTACTCTCTCCTCAAGTATTTGTTCTGATATCCTTGCTACTCCCAGGTTGAAATACAGCAACAACAAGACAAAACAGCTGTACAACACCTCTCATTAAAAAAAAAAAAAAAAAATCACTTCCATGTTATGGACTGAGACAAAAAACAGCACCAATAAAGCAGAAGGCCAACAAACCTGATATCTGGTCATGCGATCCTGTTTCATCTGCTCAAATTTGCGCTTGAGCTCATTCTGGCGTTCCCCTTTCTTCTGTGCACGGCCCACGTACACTTGTCTGCCATTCAGTTCTTTACCATTCATATCGTCTACAGCCTACAATGAAATAATCAGAAGTCTAATGAAACAAGTTAAACACAAGACATGCTCATACGAATTTAAAGTAAGCTGCAGACGTGGTTCACTTGCCAAACATTCAGATGACTCCGATAGGGTCAAAAGTCCACAAAGAGAACACACTCACCTTTTGTGCATCTTCGTGTCTCTCAAAGCTGACAAAGCCAAAACCTTTGGATTTGCCATTCTCATCAGTCATAACCCGGATACTAAGGGCAGGCCCTACAAAATAAAATTGCTAATTAATACATTTTAATAGACCAAATCACACTGGTAGCGTGCCTAGCTGTAAATGTTGTCTTACATACCGTATTTGCCAAATAATTCCTTTAGCTTTTCATCATCCATGTCCTCCCCAAAGTTCTTGATGTAAACATTGGTAAACTCTCTGGCACGAGCGCCAAGCTCAGCCTCTCTTTCTTTACGTGATTTAAAGCGTCCAACAAATCTGTTAATAATAGGAAACAAAATAAAACACACATTTCAACAAAAACCCTTCAAAAATGAATTCTGCAAATAAGTATTATTTAGTAAATGCATTCTGAATTAAACGCAGTGGGTGACCAGGGTCCTCCTGTACTGGGAATGTTAACATTAGCAACTTCAAGGTATATTTTGGGATATTTTATAGAGTACGGCATGTCTGTAAGATGTAACTGCCAGCATTTTGAGTCTTGACCTGGAATTCTTGTGATGGCTGAACTGACTGCTTTAGACTGAAATGTAATAATTCTAATCAGTACTGCTCAAACACACTCAAGCACCCGCATTGTTATGCTGTCAGATGTTTTTAAACCTGCCCGATTTCTCTGAGATGTCTTAACTCGGTGGCAGGAAAACAGGAAGTACATCAAACATGGCTGGCAGATGTGTTTTACATCACGATGCAGTTAAACACAAAAAACAAACTTTGATTAGATGTAAAATTTGCATGTTAATCAAACTCCTCAGTCATTAACTACAAGTGTAACAGTAGCCCCACTTACACTTTTCTGTCATTGAGTAACATGCCGTTCATTTTCTCAATGGCCCGCTCAGCAGCCTCGTGGGTCTCAAAGTGCACAAAGCCGTAACCCTTTGAGCCATTTTCATCACAAACCACCTTGGAAAGGGGAGATTTTAGGATGTCATAGACATTCACAAACACCGTGCATTCGAAACACATCACACGCAAATCAGGTTCAACCTGGTGCAATCTTTAGTCATGCAAAGTAGTGGTCGATATGTAAAACTGTCACAACACACAGGCAGAAGAAAGAAGTGATGCTCTACCTACCTTACAGGACAGAATGTTTCCAAATGCAGAGAAGGTGTCATAGAGGGCCTTGTTATCAATGGACTTGTCCAGGTTCTTGATGAAGATGTTACCCACTCCACTCTTCCTCAGTGAAGGGTCACGCTGAGACCACATGATACGGAGAGGCCTGCCTTTTATCACATCAAAGTTCATGGTGTCCAGGGCTCGCTCAGCTAAAAAAAATGTCACAAAAAAAGGACCTTAAGAGCTTTTCAAGATTCTCATAGGCAATGACTTTCACTTGTATACAGGTTAAACACTGTAGCGTGCCATGTTAGTAAATTTATGACATAAATTAATCTGAAATCAGAGACATAATGGCTAAAACGTACCACTAGAGTTTACGGAAACAGGGACACTGTAACAGCCTACGAAAAGCACATGTTTAAAATGGAGTCCCAGTACCACGTCGCCCTGTTACTCACTCCTTGTTCAAGTGCGTTGTGGTAAACCTACCATCAGCAGGCTGCTGGAAGTTGACATAGGCATAGCCAAGGGAACGACGGGTGATCATGTCTCTGCAGACTCTGATGGAGAGGATGGGCCCAGCCGGGCTGAATTTCTCGTAGAGCATGGCCTCGGTAACGTCTGGGTGCAGGTCTCCCACATAGAGGGAGGCCATGGGGTAGCTAGGCGCGCTGGGATTCATGTCAGGCGACGCGTGTTCTCAAGGAATGTGAAAAAATGTTTCTATTACCTAGATATTGTGTAGACGGCGATCTAACAAATTAACTTAAGTAAGGAGGGATTCCTTTTCCTCGGTCTCTAACTGTTTCACACGAGCGCAGGCACAGATACTCTAACAGTTAGCAACGTGGGCTAGTTAGCCTGATTAGCAAAATGTCGGAGCGTGGCCTCGCCGATACGGCTCGTGGACTTTACGATTTGGAATTTGAACTCTGTCACAGTCAGTTACAAAGCTGAACTGCCTGGAGTGTACGAAACAAATATTACAAATCACAATTATATCTGGAAGAACAAATCCCTTAAAGGTCAAATGCGTGGTTAACAATATAACCTGCTAACGTTAATCGCCCACGCTTTCAACAATGCGGCTAACGACTTAGCTTGCTAACGTTCTTCTCGTTCCGTCTTTCGTTCGTATTCGAAGGCAGCGACTTCTTCCCGTTGCTTAGGTTGGCAAATCAAATCCTGCTTCACCGATTTTTATTTTTCTTATAAAAATATGTCTGCGTGTGCTCTCTAGCTTTTGGTTTGTTTCATAATAATAAAATGTGTGCCGAGACTAGCTCCGGAGCACACCCTACGCAGACGGATTACGGGAATGAAAGGAAGGTCGGCGGAGGTTGTTTCCCGATTCCAGTCGAAACCACGGCGCGTTCACCACCAGGGTTCACGTCACACATCTCGCGATATTTTATATTTAATTTCGACCATTACGGATTTTCTCTGCACGGCATGACAACTTTGAGTAATCAGTGTTCTGCGCATCCTTGTTAAGTGCCTTACTAATTTATTTACACAGTTCCCTCTAAATTTAGCCTTCAATGTTATATCGCTGTACAGTGTAGAATGATAACGTTTTTTTTTTACGGCAGACATCCCTCGAGCGTCGACAAATTTATGATTCCTTTCACCTTGTAAAGCATTATTTCAATGTTCTATGTTTTCTTTTATACATGCTAACTGGATAGGAAACTATTTAAATGGCCTTTTTTTCGTGGTAAAGAAATGGCGAAAATTTGTAAATTCACCTTGGCTGGAGTTGAGGGTTCATTCCTCTTCATCAGCTGTGTGTATGATCTCCCATATAAAAAAAAAGTATTTCTGGTACATATTTAATGCTGCTTTGGTAGGATCTGTTTAATTATATTGCTGAAGCACTATTTCAAATATTCTAATGTTGATTACTGAAAGATCACTCATGTTTGTACAGACCAGCTCATCTATCGTCACTGCTGACCTCGACACTAAACAGTTAACAAGTCAGCAAGAAGTCAGTAAAACCGTTTAGTCCTCAGTTGCGTTCGCTCCCATGAGGGTCATGCACTTTTCGACCTGGGGGGTCAAATAGTACAAACTACATGCCATTGCTTCAATTACGCAAGGCTATACCTGATGATTAGGGCTAAGTCTTGGAAAAAGCAACATCACCATCATTTGTGACTACTGGAAACAATGCATACATGACTGTTATTTACAATGCATTGCATGTTTTATGCATCACATGCACTTGAATCATGGTTACACAGTAGCACAAACTAGAAGAGTGGAAAGTCTGCTGAACATGTCACAACATGAACAATCCTGTGTGGGAGCTGTGCCCTCCTGGTTTGGACTGTCATTGCAGTGGGGCGACACACCCAAAGAGCAGTGTAAAGCAATGGCAACACAGCAAGTACTGCAGCACAAACAAGGCATTTGCACTGGAGACAATTAATCAAACTACTGGGCAATACAGGTGACTGACTCCACCTGTAAATGACTCACTTATTCTTGTGCAGTGATTCACAGAAAATAGAGCACTGTGTTAAAGTAGTTGCTGAACTCAACCAAACAGCAAAACTGATGTTGAACTCTTGCCTTGAGAGTTGAAAGTCATTAATATGAATTATAGATGGCTTTGGTAAGCATGTTAAACAACTTGAGGACTAATGGCTCACTTAAGACTACCAATGTAGCACTTTAAACAGACAAGCTGAAACATTTAAATTATTATTTTTTTATTCCACTTACATGAAATTACACATTTCCCCCTGAATAACAGTTATGCTTGGGTGATCCTGTATGAAAAGACAAAGCTAACAAGCCCAACAACCTTCCCTACTTCTCCACAAGCTACTTCTTACCAACATGCAGTTTAGGCAAGTATTGGAAGGGAAAAAGAAAAGACAAAACAAATAAAAATCTTAATTTGATAAAGCAGTAACTAGATAAGGACATGGGATTGTTTTTTTTTTCCTGTGCTCATACAAAACAGCAACAATACAAGTTTGTGTGCTCTTTTGTTCCTCAAAGTTTTCATACCTCGTAATTGATACATAGAAATACAAAAGCAAGTCACCCCCCCAAAAAAATAAACAGAGTAGAAAGTTGAGCAAGTGACAGTAAATGGAATGTAACCTTTGTGTTCCAACAAAATCTTGCCTTTCGTTTCCAGCACTACCCATTACACCTCCACTGTCTTTACCTCTGCTGTCCCTTCTCTTGCCAAGTACAGACTAACATCTGCCGTCTCCTCAGGTGAGGAGCCAGCTTCCTGTTTTAGTGAAGCCACAGTTGTGTGATGGAAAAAATAAGTGTTACTCACAAACAGGACTGTTCATATGAGTAGGATACGGATACAGTATAACAATTTTTCTTACTTGTAAAAACTCAAACTGCTGTATGTTTTTGTGATTGTAGAACCTATCATCTCTCCCAGCACAATAATAATGAAACACCCCTATTGCTCCCACACAGAAAAGGTCAACAGCCAGGCATTCAACCCCAAACAATCTTTACCCTTCCACATGAATCCTTCCACCAGACCACTTAAAACTTACCCTCCCTCCCCATCGCCCTTTCCCTACAGTTACTACAAAAGAAGAAATAGTAAACTGGTAGGAGTGAGATGAGTATTGAGAGATCTAGACAGAAGACAGAAAAAAGATGGCGAGACTTGGATGGCAATGATGATAATGAGGTGGTCTCAGTGTTGATGATCATGATGAAGATGAGCCAGGACGACGGAAGGCAGACAGGAATGACTATGGGTGTCTGGCTCATTCTGCAGCCTGCTGTGTATCTTCTACCTCATCCTGGGTATCAGAGGTCCACAGCTGAAGAAAGAAAGGACAAGCAGAAAAGTAGCAGCAAGAGGGAAGAGAGGAGGGTCAAAAACAGGGCAGAGTAAAAGATAAAGAAAAGAGTAAAAACATTCATTAATATACAATCTTAAAAAAATTGGATTTCAATTGAGAGGCAAGTGTACTGCATTAGCCTTCACTCTTTAGTGACCCAAAAAAATTTAATCCATGTTCAGTTATAAATCTGGACTAAAAGATCTTACTTATTTAATAATTGTTTAGCTTGACCTAAGAGACCTATTGAATTATCACAGCAGAACTGACCATGCTGTACTTCATCCAGCAGTCAAAGGTGTTCAATAAGTTAATCCAAATACATTAAAAATTGTGTCCTGGTACTCTCAACATTTTTTTGGACATTATTTGAGAAAAGAAATGTCATTGAAGCAACATAAAGGAAATACAACTGACCGGGCCAAATGAAATCCAACCTATTTGTTCAAACCCTAGCTCAGACACATAACATCCTAAATTGCAGCCTTTGCAGTTTACAACCGGTAGTGTTGTAAATTGTGATTTTGATTTGAAACAAATATTTCCAACATATGCCATTTGACTGACTCTAAAATTGTTTAAAAAAAAAAACAAAAAAAAAGTTCTAATATTTGTGGTCAGAGTGTGTAGGCATTTTATAAGTCCAGTGTATAAGATTTCAACTTACTGTCAAGTTGTCTCTCAATAGCTGCATGATTAGTGTACTGTCTTTGTACGATTCTTCGCTCAGTGTGTCAAGCTCTGCAATGGCGGCATCAAAAGCCTAAAGGATTCGAAACATATTTTTAAGACATGGAAAAATGATGGGAGCTTAGAACAAGCTGTTACGTTTTGTTACAATATTTATGCATTTTGATTCTAATAAATTGGCATTATTCTTAAAATCCTCACAAGTGTTAAAAGAAAGTTATTCAGTATCATGAACTTACTTCTTTGGCCAGCTGGCAGGCTTTCTCAGATGAGTTAAGGATCTCATAGTAAAACACTGAGAAATTGAGAGCAAGACCAAGACGGATTGGGTGCGTCGGCGCCATACCATCTTTGCTGATGTCCAAGGCAGCTTGGTAGGCTTCCTGTGACTGTTCTTTTTCTGAAAGAGAAAAGCAAGGGTATAAGAGCTTTGCAAGTTTAAGCAAATTGGAAACACTAACAAGTGACATTTTAAAAATAAGATTTAATAGTATAATACGATTTACAAAAAACTTGGCATTAGTGTCACCTTGGCGTAACCAGTAATCTTGCAACTAACAGTCCTGCAATAAATTTTATTTTAATATCATGGTAATAATATAATGATCAGTTTTTGTTAAAACTGTTTCAGAGAGGTGATTTGAGTTTTACTACTTAAACATTTCTTATACTGTCCACCTTAATATAGTCAGTCGAAGGAAGAAAGAACACATCACTGAAACCAGTCTTAAAAGATTCAGTCAGCCTGATATAAAAGCATTAAATGACTTTTCCCAACACACTAAACGCTTCGTGTCTTTCTCGTATCTTGGGTGAGAGAGAAAAATAAGCAAGGAGAGAAGTTGAGGAAAGGAATCAAGGATGTACAAACTGAGTTAAAACAGCTATGTCCTCTCTAAGCAACAGTCCACTCTAAAATATCAACATAAAATTTGCCATACAAGCTTAACATAAAAAACAGCGATAACCAGCTTGACTTCTTCAGTTGCTCAATGTATGTGTGCTCAAAGAAATGGGTGTTAAGCAAGAAACTACATTTGACATTGTGTTGGCCCTCTCAGACTTGATATAACTGTCAAAGCTGTCAAAAAATTATTACATCACTTGTGAATCCAATTGATGCTACACCGCAATAAAAACGGAAAAGTTTAAAGGACAGATTAGGGGGACATTCATGTCAACATTTTCTTCACCTTTAACACACCAGCAAAACTGGAGACACTGAAAGCTAATGTGATGTGAAAGTGGCTTAAAGAAATAGTTGGAAGATTTGGGAGAATGAAAGTTTTGCTTTAGTGCCAATGACAAGATCAATATCACTCTCACATCTGTCGGCTAAATATGAAACTACAATCAGGTGTCTTCTAGCTTAGCTAAAGACTGGAAACAGCAAGCCTGACTCCGTCCAGTCACAAAAATAAATCTACCGGCTCTAATTAAATGTGTTATAAAGTATGTATTTCAGTAATGTTCCTACACTGGAACTACAGCATACTCCCCATATTGCTTGTGCATAGATAAAATGCACCCTTGGCAAATTAAACCTACAAGTTTGCACAATGTCATAAGTTCCTTTGGTTGCATTCTGGCACTGTATCAAGGTTCGCAGGAAAAGCCCTAACAGAGAGGCACCGCCGTCACCCTAACATCAAGCAGCACTGATTTTATGAACGCATGTGCATGAGGTTAAGGGCCAAAACTAGTCAGTTAAGAAACTAGATGCCTAACAATCTGCTTCCCAAATTCTCTGTATCTTACCAAAGAAGTTGAAAGTTTCTGCTGTATGTCCCAACAAATACAAAAAACTCAATCCCCTGCAAAGTTCAGGAATATCCCCTCATCTGACTGTTTTCCGCTAAACCAAAGCCTAAAAATAAAGAACTCTGTGGCAATTTTTTTCCCCTCTTTTCTCCTGTTCCCTTAATCATCCCTGGGTCACTCAGATCTTGCCACTGTCTGAGGGGGTTCAGATCCCTGGTTGGTACTTTCTTGTTGTAAACAGCAGAGCAAATTAGCTTACAGCATTCAAGACCAGAGACTGGTATGTCTCGCAACAGCCACTAGGGGGCAACTAGGTCAAGAGAATCTAAATGAAACTGACTCTGCTTTGTATCAAAACCATGTAATAATGGTTATCTAAAAGGAAACAAATTATGATTGGACTCGAAACAGAATATTCCTATTGGTTAAGCTGGTTACTGTAGACCAGAGGTAAAGGTGAGATTGACTGAGGCCACATTAAAGGTTTTTAATTGTTGTAGGGCAAGTCAAATATACAGGAATACATTCCACAACATTAAGTTAAATTTTATGTTACTACAGGTATCTATTATAATAATAACAATTAATAAATAAAAGTGACATGGCCATTTAAAGCCACCAACAATGATAGGAAGTGTTAGTATTTAAATATTTTTATCTTACCTTTTTTATTGATTGAGGAGAATACTGTGACAGTCTAACTGATGAAACATGTCAAAGCTTATTCTAACACTTTCGTGTTCACTTATTAGGATCTTACCTCATACATTGTATTTGGCTAAGCTAGGAGTTGTTATCAGTTCTGGCAATCAAGCCTCTCAGTCAGCAAAACATACTCTCATAAAAAATGAAATGAAATTAACCATCACCACTCCCCACACAGATGTTATCAATAGGAATTAACATAGTTTACCTTTCATCTCTCCTGAAGCCACAGCCACCTCAGCCAAGTAGCGGTAATAATCTCCTTTCATTTTCAAATAAAAGACTTTGCTCTCTGGCAATTCAGCTTTGGGAATTAGATGGTTTTCCAAGAGATCCTGTAATTCAAAACAGACATAGCAGACTTTTAGAAAGGAACAGAATTTATAAACTATCATATTTTTATATATACACCTTGTATTCCATAATGTATGTAGCTTGCTTTACTTGTGGCTAGCAGACCTTGAAATCAGTAGCATTCATTTGTAGCTTTGGTTTATCTACTATGTACATACACAATTAATTCAAAAAGATAGTATTTTTACACTGATAGCTTACATTCATCACTTATCCACTGACTGCAGAGGAGCAGTGGCTGGTATTTCAACCTATTCAAATTAACATCACAGCCAGTATTTCAAGGCATCAAGTCCCATCACACGTAAATAAGAGTAGAGACAAGCTGGCTACCTCCAGTCGCCTCTGGGCTTGAGCCTGAGACTTTGGCTAAGCTACATCACAGATGCTTCAGGGACCACTGAAGGCGGATAAATCTGTGTGGATGTGGATACCATAAAAGCATGGGGGTGGAGAAAGAGATAGGCTGAACAGACGAGTGGGGAGTCAAGATGGTTGAGAGTGTAAAAGGATGGTGGAGGACAGAGGGAGGATGGGAGGATGGATGAAAAATGGTGGGGGTGGAGAGAGAGGAAAGAGCCAGGCTGCTGAACTCCTGATGAGCTTTTGCTGAGGAAGTAGGTCACTCAGAGAGCCCAGCTTGGATCTTGACAACACAAGCATGCACCACTTGAGCTTGTTCCTGTTGCTAACCTAAATGCTAGGGAACAGCGTAACTTACTGTAACAACTGGAAGGAGAGTACCATGACACACTAGCTGAAAAGTGTAGGTAAGCTGCTATGTTACAGTGTTATAGGACAATGAGGATTAACCATGAAACATGAATTAATACTTGATTTTAAGTCCCGATCTGACCTATTAATGGCTTAACTGTGGATTTTAATGTAGTTTCCATGTGGACGCTTCTTTGTTGTTTATCCCCAACAGGCATGGAAAAAAAACTGTGCCATATAGAGGTAAAAGGCAGCAAAGAAGCAAAAATCTTCAAAGCACTAGTGATGATGTGTTTTTAGGAAACCCAGCCTCTTGATTTCTATAAATTATGGCTTGACAGCATATTTTACAGGCCTGGCTAATGCTCTCCACAGCGTAACAGCAATATAATGAACTGAGCTGAATTGTGCCTAGACAAAGTCATAAGTTTAAAAAAAAAAAAAGATTTGGTCTGAAAAATAATAAAATGTAGGGTCATAACAGACAACTTCCCACAGACCAGTGTTCTACATGAATTATGAAACAAGGATTTTTGAAACTTCTGGAAGACCTTTTTCATTACACAGCACATTTATCCTGAACATAAAAGGAATAAACAAGGCTGATAAGAGCCTTCACTTGGCGACTTCTCCTAGACTGATGTGAGGGATCAGGGAGGCCTTCTGGGATCTGAATGTAGAACTGGGCCACTGACAAGGGCATAACTAAAATCAAACTATAACCATAGCAGGGCTGTTTGCAATATATTAAACTTAAATTATGTAACCATGCATTCCATTTGATCTTACTTTACATCCCTGTTACATTCAGAGAACAGAGAGATTCAAAAGATGCCAAAGCCTCTAAGCTGAGAGGAACCATTTGTACATAAAGAGAGACAACCCTCTTTCATGTCACCCATAGATTTCCTGAAGAGTGGTTTCGGTGCTCAGTAAGGGTGCTCGGGTTGTCGGCATCTTGGCGGTGCTAGAACTCCCAGCTAATTCAAAAATGAGTTAAAAGGTAAAGCTGGAGCGGAGCTGTGGCGGCTATGCAAACGTCTCTTTGCTGTACACTGTCCTATGAAGGCACCCATCTGTCACTCGAAGAGCGTTGCCTTAATTATGCACAACTTTAAGCCTTAATACGGTTTAAACAAGAGAGTCACATTAAATTTAAAGATTAAGTCATTGTAGTTTTGTGTTCTATTTTAGCTTTATGATCATTTGTGCACAAGCAGAGTACAGCAAAAGGATTACTGTTACTACTTGCCTTTTAAGGGACAACAGTGAATTAAAAGGCTGCTGTGTTTTTCGATATTTTAATGTTCTGGTAATGGCCAGCAATCACACAGCATTATCCCATCTCATTTAATAATCCAGTTGTACAAACGTTGAGGTTGATACTATGCCTGAGCAAAGTCTGGCTAGACGTCAAGCTACTATTAGTACTGGGAAGGCCAGTAGCCCACACTAACTATGAATGCACTGACCAGTCAATAGTAAACCTGTCACTAGTCCCTGCTGTTAGCTCCACACCTACTGTCCATTCTCAGTCCTTTGGTAGCTACTATTCATCTGTTGGAGATGAGCTTGAGCAGGCAGCATACGACATGGTTGTAGTTTGTCATTTGTTACTGTGAGAATCAATGAAGATCACCATCAAGAGATCAGTGTGTCATGACATCCTCTTCACAACCACACACTACAGAAGCCTACTGGTTACTACTATTATTGTACCTCTAAAAGGTGCAAGGAAACATTTTTGGGTTCACCTAATATGTGATGGTACACCTAAATGAAAACAATAGGTGCACCAGTGCAACCCATTTGAACCATTTAGTCTAAAGCCCTGACTGAAGCAGTTCTGTTGCAAGCATGGCCAGTTTCCATACTCTGTTAACTAGAAAGAGATAATACAGTCTATTTATGCAGCGATAACTATTCCTTTAAGTACCTTGGTGTCAGTGCAGATGATACTTATTACTTACAGGCTTACTGTTTGGCTTGTGGATATACAGATTGCCAATAACATCTAAAGTAAAATTAACTTTAACATTCTGCTCTAACAGACATACATTCTGGCAGAGACACAGGAACTGTCACAAATCAAGAAATTACCTATTTTCACAGTGGTTAAGGATATGCTAACACCTAAAGGGCTAGATTATGGTAGTGGCTGGAATACAATAACAATTGACACTTTAGATTTGGTCTTTGGTGAAGTTCAAGAGCTGTGAAAGATTAACAAAACAAGAAAAATAGCAGGTGTAACTGGGTGAGAAGAGGAGACAACAGTTCTTGATGTCATGGTGAACAGATGAGAGCATCACATAACATTGTAACCCGTTATTCTGTTGCCATTTTACATATGAAGCTGAAGTAATTATTAGTTATGAAGTAGCATAGTTTTGAGTAGTTTTCCTGCTAACACATGTTCTTGAAGTCTCCATTTCTCTAAACCCTGTGTACAATTTTTAAATCTGATACTCTTCTTGATTACAAAGAACCAGTAACACACCTGACAAAATCACATCGGTTTTAATTGTCTAACAAATAAGCAGTGTAGTGGAGCAACAGTAATATATCAGTCAGCATTAGATTGCATGAAAAGTTTGGTTAGCAAAACACATCACGTAACACTACCCTCAAAAAGAACGCTAAAGCAACTCCTTTTCTCTGTATTGTGCAATTGTTCTGACTTTCATAAGAGCTTCAGATTGTATGAAAATATAGCAGAATTCACAGCATAGTCATTGTCGTTAACTTCTTTGCATACTTAGTTTGTCAAATGACACTGCGGTTATAAAACCGTGATTTTAGAGGTTCATAGCAGTAGCTTAGAAGTGACGGCTGGTTAATGTGTAGTCTCAATGAGATGTAGTTCAGTCACTATTTCATACTGGTTCTGTTGTCTGCATTGCGCTGTGCTCTTGCAGTTTCCTACCACAACTCTATGCAGTGTACAAATCATCTTTTTTTGCTGTGATACTATAAAGTACTCATTTATTGGGAACCTTGGGTCTTTAGACGCTTTTACATGGAAACGTGAGAAGGAAGGCATGGCCCCCCTTTGCCTTGGTCATGCCTTTGACTCCTGGTCTCTTTTTGACTTTACCCAATGGCCTCTATCACTTTTTGTGTACAACCAAACAACAACATGAATAAATTTGAGGAAGACTATCCAACGGTATAAACACGTCTTTAGACTTGGCTCGATGAAACTTTACAAACTAGCTCAATTCCAGTATGCATCAGCGCTAACATTATCCTACACCCTTTGTCTACACATTTTATGTTTTTCTCATCCCACTCTTGCTGGGCTCCCACAGGGCTGTTGGTCGAAGTGGAGGTTAGCGAGCCAGAACGTCGGTGGCTCAGCATCTGTCATGGGATTACGACCTTTTGAGTCACCACTCAAATATAATGCACAGGCTGAGAGAAAAACAGAGTGGTAGAGGTCCTAGCGATAGCTATAGAGTTAATATATGTACAAACAATATGAAAATTGGCAAGATATAATCACACAAAAAATATTATTATACTAGTAAAACTACAAATCAGTAGAATAAGTAGCACTGCTAGTTGTGCAAGCTGATCTGTGCCCAGAACTTTTACATTCTGGACTAATTCTAAAGCATTTGGCAAACCTTGTAAAGCATAGCCTGTTTTTATTTTTTCCAAGAAGAAGATGGTGTGCAACTGGCTTTGTTGTGCAGATAATACTCTAACAATTCCAAGCTAAACTGCTATGGCGACGAAAGTCTGAATAAGGCCCTTTTTGCCCCGAGTTTTTTTTTGTAACTCAGCCAATCAGTGGAGGACACAGTGAAAACAGGAGATAGATACACTGTAGATTCTACCTTACATGTCAAAAGAAAAATGAGACCCTACTTGTAACAGGAAATAGGGTCTTGCAGTGTAACAGAGCCATTCAGCTTTCAGAATATAAAGTTAAGGGGAATATGACCAGTTGTAATGGTCTTGTTTGACAATGTTAGTTGCTTAACCCTAATTACTCATAAAATATTTTTTTGCTGTGGAAATAACCCATAACAGTCCACGTGGAGGGACAGTAGAATCTTTCAGCAGCTTTTCAACAGATTATCACTGGCTCTTTAAAATGCATAATGAGAAAGCTACATTGCATTCTAGTGCCAGATATACTAACATCATAAGTGGTGATGTTTACTATGTCTAAGGAACGCAAAAGCACAGGGTCAACTTGTCCCAGTTGATTTAGAATACATATATTTTTCTAAGTAAGTAAACAGAACTTACAGGATAAGTAAATAGGATTCCTATTCTGTTTTAATGAAGCTGGAAATAAAAAAATGCACTATCGTCATCAAACTAAAAAAAATAAGACATTAATTTAAAAGACAGATAAAATCAGCTATTGTTGTCTAATCAAACAATATGATTCTCACCAGCACTTCTTGACAGATTTTTTTCAGCTCTGTCTCAATCGTGACACGGTACTCTTTGGCCAGCTCCTGCTTCCTTCCACCAGCGTCAGCCTTCTGCTCGATGCTGGACAACACACGCCACGAGGAGCGGCGGGCGCCCACCACATTCTTGTAGGCCACTGACAGCAAGTTACGCTCCTCATTCGACAGCTCTTTCTCGCTTGACTCAGTCACGACCTTCATGTCACTCGCCATGTCATCATAACGCTCAGCCTGCTCGGCCAGTTTGGCCCTCTGCACCATATCCTTCTGAGATGTCTCGGACATGACTGCTCACTGTAGAATACGAAAGAAAAAAAGAAGAAGAAAAAAAAGACAGCTGGAGGTCAATTAAGTAGGTAAATAGACAGCAAGAAAACAGATTTGTATTTTAACTGCCATTCATTTACAGGAAATACCTATCATTAAATATGTGCAGAAAAAACAAATACAATTTTTGATTTAAAGATAAATAAATAAAGCAAACTGGTACCTACAATACCAGGAAAATAAAATTATTTGTGTTTGCTGTAACTGAACACATTAACAGATGTGTATCCCAAGAGAAGCTGCTACACTGCACCACATGTTTAACTGATGTTGCAGCAACTAGTGTTTTGCTGGCGTCCATTGGAAGTACTTTGACAAGGAACAACACTGATGCACACCATGGCAGCTTAAGGCTAAGGGGGCACAGAAGGGCAAATGAACAGAAAGTATAGAAATGGTAATTAACAAAACATGACAAGTGAGCAGAAAAGAGTGAATTTCATGCTTAAACTAAAAAAAACTTTTGCTTTTAACATTTTAAAAGCATTTTTGATGGCTGAATGTGAAAAATTGCAATTACCAAACATATAGCAGCATACAATTGAAAGTACACCTCCATGGCCTATAAGCAGTGACTTGAGAAAAACGGCAATGCTACTATAAAAAAAAATAACACTGTACTTGACCTGCAAGTTATACAGTTGTTTTATAGTTGTATAGGCTTGTAAGAGCTGAGGAATAGGGTGCTAGCTGTAGTTTACAGTATAAAGGCAGTCTATGCACAGTATATCCATTTGACCCTTTCAAAGTAGCCAGAGGGGCTCCACAGAATCAATCACTTTTTTCCATTCTACAATACATGGAGCATGGCATCTTCAACATCTGTCAGCAGATACAGAAATGAAATCAGATTATTCACATTACACAACATATATAAAAATGGGCAACCAAATTAACTGAAAAGGGAAAATACTGAAATGCCGATTCAGAAGTTGTCAGCTGGATATTCTGTTAAAATACAGAACTACTAAGACACGTTGTGTGAGAAATGTCTATGACCTCACAGACGCGTTAATGGTGCTTTTTTTCCCCCGATGTGGCATTACTACATAAAACTACGTAATAGTAAAGTCGTATCGTCTGCGTCGCGACGTCGCGTGTAAATGTAAGAGACTATTCGCCAAAAGAATGCACGCTGCAGTCACGGTACAGATACGGACAAGAAGAACTTGATCCAGAATTGCTGGCAAGCCTCCAGGGCAAATGCAGACTTGCCCTCCTCTTTCACCCGTACGCTCACACACCACACCCTTCCTTGTACCTGTGGCTTGCCTATCAAGCAGAAACTCAAGTAGGAAAAAGAAAGCATGGTTGAACGTAAGTATTTTCGGCAGACGTTGACTTAAAAGCCCCCCTTTTCCCTCACAACCACAGTTCTGGCGAAAAAATACAATTCAGTAAATGAAAGGCGACCGCAACAGTTAGGCCCTCGTGATCCGCTTTCAGTATGGCGCCGACTATTTCCTGAAACAGAAGCACTGCATGTCACACAGCTTGTAGAAACGGACTCGGGGTTACATTCATTTTCATAGCTAATCTGTCATATTCGTAATATAAATGAACACATAATACTTTTTCTCGAACCGAAAAATATGCCCCAGCTTCGTGGGATGCCTTTAAAAAGGTGTGCATCTTAGTGTAACTTAGCTAGCTGCCTGCCTAGTGGCACATGTGATAAAATTACACTTGCCCCTTTTGTTAGTTCTCCTAATGCGCCAATTACTTAACACCTGACGGAAGCTAACACATCTAATACACTACTTTACAACGTCATTCCGTTTATTGTACCCTAATAGCACTATCAGCAAGTTTGAAATCATTAAAGGCGCTTAAACTGAGATTAAAATGATACATGTAGAAAAATCAGCGACGGCTAGTATTGCACCAGGACGAAACATTTCCATTACAAATGACGATTTGTTATAACCAGCAACGTGCACTCTTAACCAATTTACGGATTAATTACTTCGGTTAAAGATTTTAACGTTTGTAGCAATTAGATTACATTTCAGAGCTTCAACCTTCGACACTGACACGCCTTCGCTGTCTGTCCGTCTGATGTTCTCTTTTGAAACCAGCCATTACACATATCCCGCACTGTAACGTTCGCTAGGCTATCCATTGTTCTTCAGTTAGATGAGCGTCGCAGCTACACGCAGCTCTACAGCCAGCCAAAGACAATACGCTTCGATTACCAAAATATTTGAAGATATGTCAGAAGGCTTCGCAATGAAATATGGAAACTTAAAAGCGCACTTTTTAAAGCTATAGGTCATTTCTTACCTGAGTACTGGCGTCGGCGTGCCAAGCTACAGCTGATTCTCAGCCTCTCCGACTGAATGTAGTCCACGGGGTTTCCTTCCAATCACACCAGTCCAAGGCACGGCCAGAGCAAAGGGGACTTACGTCATACGTTACCAGGGCAACCACTCGAGATATACTGTGGGAGTTGTAGTTCTCGTTACCATTTCCTCCCTAGTCTTAATGTGATAAATTCCTGCGAACAATACAGTCAACATAGGCACCTTTAGATGATTTTGTACTAAATTATACTAATACTATGATCTTGCTTTACAAGCAAGCACTTCTGATCATTGCATTACATCAAGCAAACAGAGATATTAACAGTAACTCTGACAAAGAAGTCCGTGTCAATGTCAATATAGCACCCTGTCTTACTGTAGGTCATAGTTTACTATCAGAGCAGAGACAGCACATGCAATATAGTGACTAACACTGAAAGGAATTTAAAAGTATTGAATGGATCTGTGATATAGGTGCCATGGCACAGATCATAGCTGTATGCAGCATTTTTAAAAATCTTGATAATTAAAAGAACCAAGCTCCTTAGTTGCCTCAGGTTGAGAATTCTCAAACAAAATGAGATATCGTTATCCTCCAGAAGTATTTGCTGCAGATGTTGAGGGCATCACAAACTAGAACACAGGACACAGCTACAGTATATCTTGCCTAATAGAAACTACTATTTCTGCATTCTGGTTGGTTTCCAAGGGGAGAGAGTGAAGCTATTTTTGCCTTGTCACATGTTTTCCCCTTGGGCCAAGGTTTCAAGCTTGTAACCTATTTAAGGGCAGATCAGATAGTATTGGCTGCAGGAATGTGCAGACACAAGTGCAAAAAAAACCAAAAAACTCTCCCTACTTGTCAATTTGTGGTCCAGGAAGGGTGTAGCACCAAATCAGATATGTCACATAAAGAAATAAAATGGGTTAAGGGGTCATGTCCATCCTACATGGATGTTCTTGAAAAAAAAAAAAAAAACGTGATAATGACTAGTAAGTTCATAGAACCTTGCAAAATTCTAGAGCTCTATCCCAAATCCCTTTTGGTGACGAGCTTGGCCGTCTGAATAAAACTTGATAATTTTTGTGATTCTTTCTGAGTCTCACCAATCACTATTTTTTCACTGGATTTGTTTAAAATTAGTACCAAACATCCATGAAACCACAGGGTTAATTCAATTTAGTTTAATCATATCTAGAAGTAATTCGGGAAAGCATAAAAAATGACTGCCAAAGTTTTTGCAAAACATAATGTAACTTCAGAGATAAATGGACAGAACCAGCCTTCTTCACCAGCCTGTCCAGCCGCCTAGTGTTCCTCTCAGTCAGGCTGCTGTCCCAACAGACCACAGCATAAAAAAGAACACTGGCTACTACTGACTGGAAGAACATATGCAGTATTTCTCTGCATACATCCAAGGATTTTAATCTTCTGAGGAAGAACACCTGGCAGTGTACAATACCAGTGTTTTTCAGTATATAGGTATGTACAGCTTTGTTATTTTCCACCTCCAGAGGAAAAATGCAAAATCTGAATGTCCACAGATGGAACATGTGTACAATGTCAACATTATTTAGAAATATTTTTTGTGTATTTCTATTTTCTACTGATGCTCCCTACATATTTGATCTACCCCCTTTGCTGCTGTAAGACTTCAAATTTCCTCACTGTGGGATTAGTAAAGGCTTATCTTATCTTATCTTATCTTATCTCATATCTTATTTGGTAACCTGTGAAATCTCATGCAATCTATGACACCATCTCTGCCATAAATTCTTCTTTAGCTTCTACCGTTTTAGTTTTTGTTGCCGTTGTTATTTATTATTGAGGTCATGGTGGGTGGTGGTGGCGTACTGGACTGCATTACATTTAAAAGTGTTCCTATTATTGTGTCCGCTTCTGTATGTTAATGGGGTGGATCAAATACTAGGAGCACTTTAAAAGTATCTTTAATATTGACACCCTCACGTAGGTTAATGTGTTTGACAATCATTCTAATATCTTTCCTTCTTTAAAATATGTAGGTTCTGTGACATAGGGAAGATGTAAAATATAATCTCTTAAAGAACATGTTGCATAAACTTGACTTTTTGCAGGCATTTATCTTGTACCTGGTCTTCCATGGGTGTAGCAGAGGGTGTGAACAAGTGGTATTTGTCTTCAGGGTGAAAGAAACTATTGTTCAGGCATGTTCACAAAACCTGTTGGGCCAGTAGTACGTCACGCTGACCCCACTGTTTACCATTCCACGGTCACAAGATGAGCTCTACACCTTCACATCAGTGAAGAGTGTGAGAGGGTATGCACAAAGAGCAAAGCAGAGTTTACATGGAGCTAAACACTCTAAGTATAGTTTGGCATTAAAAATAGAACTTGAACTAAAAAAGGACACAAGTTGTATTGGCATTGAAAAAAATAATTTCCACTGAAGAAAGCTGAACAATAAAGCACATGATTTAATTTAATTTAATTTAATTTTTGTAATTTTTTTTCTTCTCAATGACAACTTTTTTGTTTTTTCTGTCCTGTCTGTCTTTTTGCTGTGATATTTTTTTCCACTGTAACTACTTTTGTCCATGTCACAGGTTTCTGTTTAACTTTGTGTCACTGCTTTGGTGTGGAAGAGGTTGAGAGGAGGGGCAAGATGCGTGTGCTTTACATATAATTTGCATTTATTTCACAAATTACTGAATTTTGCACCACTGTACTTTACTATTTTCCACTGTGGGAAGCTGTCTAAGCTCATAGAAAACAGCCTGTGTAAATAAAATCCCTCGATCTGAATTTCTCAGTGAAAAATCTGATTCTTATTTTGGTCACACACTTGTCCGAGTAACGACCTTGGGTGTTTAGGGAATATTCTTAAATTTAATGTCTATCGATAAGCAGCTGTTCAGTAAGTGAGGAGTTTAGTCTGTGTCCAGTTTACAGAAGTGATACCAGGGAACTTCAAGTGACCAAAAATACCTGGAAAAGAGTGATATAAGGCATTCTAATATGAGACCTCCCCAAGCTGAAACTCAGGGATTTTGTCGACATGAATTGTTATCTATGAGGTTATTTTTTTCGATGTACATAGTTTTCTGGCCATCCTGGCTAAAAGTAGTGGGCTACTTTTTCTTCCTGCTGTCACAAAATTTGAATTTGAGCAATCAAAAAATGGTCACATTTTGGTACCAGTGTGGAGCCCTGTATTACTGCTAGCCTTAAAAGAATTGAATTTCATCAAAATAACTGCATTGCCACATTGTATTTTATTTTAATGCTGAGGCTACGCTTTGTGGTTGCAATAGCATTGCATGGCTGATATATATCTTCTGTCAAGGTGAGAGGCCTTTCTGGTAGGCATCCACAGGGGCGCTTTTAAACCTGAGATACTGTTCTCCTTCCTAACATTCTACACTTGATGGGAATACAACTGACAGTGTACGATAAGTGACTGAAAGGTGCTCTTCAACAGGAATAAACACATTCATCCTTCAGATGGCTGTGCAAAAGTTAGCTGCACCTGATTGGACAATGTTTGACTTGGAGGCTGTCTGCTCCTGTGTTTCAAAGCATACCAACACCGCGGCTTGTTTGGTAAATCTGAAATGTGCTTCTGAAAACATTTGAGGCAAGAAATAAGCTATGCAGTTGCTGAACCTGTTCTCATTTCAGATTCATAATGATAAATTTAAAAATTTTTTGGGAGACTCCAAAGGTGGAACATGCTCAATACTTCTCATTTGCTTAAAGCACTCTAGTCCTCAATTTTATGCAAATGAGGAACGGACAATGCAAAGCCCCACCTCCCGAAACCAATATTATCAAGAGGAGACGGCAGTTTCAGGACCTCAGTTGTAGGACCTTTGTCATTTCAGTGGCCCCTGCCAAACCGGGTGCTGACTAAAATGCACGACTCATGGTTTTAAAGTGTTATTCTACTAAAGATACTATTAGTAAATGAGTTGGTCAACCCAAAATGCTACTTTCTTAAAGGTTAAGTCCACCAAAACAGTATTTTCTAATCAACAAGCTATGGTTTTAAAGGTTTATTTTGTCAAAAATACTGTTTCCTGTCAAAGTACTTGTTTTAAAGTTTTAAAGCTTTACTCCACTAAAAGTTCTATTTTCTGTCCAAGTACTTTAAATGTTTAAAAGTAGTTTTAAAGGTTTATTCCACCAAAATAGTATATATATTTTTTATTTTATTTTATTTATTTATTTTTTTTTACCAACAAGCTAATGTTCTAAAGGTTTACTCCACTCAAAACATTTATTAGATTTTTTTTTAAGCAAGTGGCTCCCATGTTGTCTTGCCCAAAAAAAGGAGTCAAAAAACAAAGGCCCTAGCAATGTGGTTCTACAACAATGGCCCTGAAAATGCAGCTTCCTCTACTGCAGACACGTTTGTCCTCAAAACGCAACGTGACACTACCTGACTGCATTGCAGAGTGGATCCAACAGACAATGTATGGGAAGAGTTTAGGTGACGGATTCTGTGGAACATATCATTCTCTTACCCTGCTTGGCTCAACTCCAACTATGTAGCAGCAGAAGCGGTGCTGGTAGAGCTGCCTGAGTCGGAGGGGGCAGACATTTTTCCATTGTGGAAAACAGTATAGTACAGTGGTGCATAATTCGGTAGATGGTGAAATAATCACATCACTCATGTCAACCTCACAGGAGGACAGGAGCTCCTTAATTTGCAATTTATATGTAAATCGCACACTTATTGCCCCTCCCCTCAAACTCCTCCCCTCTGCGTCAAAACAGTGACGCAAAGTTGAAACCTGTGACACTGAAAAAAAACACTGGTAGGGTTAAAAATAAATAAATAAATCTCAGTAAAAAGACGGAAATTAAGAAAAGAAAAAAAACCCAAACAGATTATTGTTATGAACCTTAACCCACATGAAAATACAAAAAAAATATAAAAATAAAATGAAATAATTTTTCAGCTTAACTTCATATAAACTTTATATATGCGTGTGTGTGTGTATGAATAGAAATCTAAATGCCTGCACAACTTGTTCAAATCGAAATATGTAAATCAAATCAAATCAAAGTTTATTGTCATTTTGCTGTACATACACAGTAGTACAGGTAAGATGAGAGAGCGTTTCTTCAGGATCATTTAATTCATAAGTTTTGTGGAATGCACGTCTGGGATAGGCAAGACACTAAACGTGCACTGTCGCTGTCTCCTGAAGGGGCCGCTGTGTCCATGCACGCCGCCATTTGTTGAACATGGTGAACCTCTTCAGGTCCTGGTCCACAAAGACACACACGATGGTGTGATGATGGTATAGCCACAGATGCTGCCCAGAGCTAGCTGTCTGTCTGTCTGCCCAGAACGATGTTGTCTCCTCCAGGTGTATGGCCATCTGGGATGTTGTCATGGAGCCATGTCTCCGCAAAAGCAAACACGCAGCACTCTTTCCACTCTCTGCAGGTTTCTCCCAGCAAACGTAGCTCATTCAGCTTGTTGTGGAAGGAGTGGACATTGGAGAGTAGGAGCGACAGTACTGCTGGTCTGGAGGGGTTAGACTTTAGCCTAGCATGGATCCCAGCTCTCTTCCTCCTCCTTTGTTTACGTTTGCCCCGTTTGCACTTCCTTCTCTCTCAGGTAACTGCCGGCGTAGTCTCTGATTGGACTCCTCGTTGGTGCAGCATGTCCAAATCATAACCGATCGCTGCAATTCCAGCGCCTTTCACTGTTCTGACACCCAGCAAATTCTCTCAGCCACAAGTTTGCGAAATGAATGTCTGGGATAGGCAAGACACTCAAAACGTTCATTTTCCTTGTCTCCTGAAGGGGCTGCTGCATCCATGCGCACCACATTTAATGGACATGGCAAATTATTAAATTCCAATGTTGTCTTCTTCAGTTCATGTTTGTTTTCAAAGCCACATTTTGTTTACCATGCCAAACTATACTGTCACCGTTATCGTATTATTTAAATAATTAACTAAGTGACAAAAATAAAACCATTTGCATTGTGCTGTGGAAATTCATTTCACTGTGATATTCTTGTACGATAAGATAAGCCTTTAGAGTCTCACAGTGGGAATATTTACAAGGTGCTTAAATGTGCATATTTGCATCACAGTGTGTGAGACTGTTTTACTTTCAGCTGCTTATTGATGTTAAACATTTTTGGGAGCAAGTAAAGAACAAATATAAGAACAGAATTTAAAACAATAAGTTGGCTCACTGCGAATCTGTTATCAGGGAATATAACCTGCTCTAGAGCATTTTAGGCGTTCAGCACCAGTTACCATGGTGATGTACAAATGTAAGAATTGAATCACCATTGTAGTCCTAAAAACCCAGAGTTAAACCAGAAGTCATTTTGCTAACCCACTAATCCTGATTTGCAGTACAAGTCTCTAAAGGTGGATGAGAAAATGTGACTCATCATACTGACTTCCCCACCCTCCTAGGAGACTTTTTAAGTGGTACATGTACATTCACTGCAGTGGCGTGCAGTCAGGGAAGACGAAAAGAAAAAAATATTTAGAATAAAATCATTTAAACGGTTATATTTATCCAGTGATTTGTACTATAATTTATTTATTTTTTCATTTAGCCTCACCAATTTTGATGATTTTTTAAATTTATTTATTCAAAATTGCTGAATTTTCGCAATTGCCCATTCAAATGCTTGGAAGGGAAGCCGATGAGGCAGCAGCGAGCTGAGCCTCACCTTGAATTGCACAATTCCTCGCTAACTGCACTGGTTGCCATGCAGTGACAGCGTACTGCTGTCTGTATGTCGCCAGTAAAATATTTCAAACACATTTAATACATGAACTGAATTTCCATAGTTTAGCTGATGTATAAAATATAAGCAGGCAGTTCTCTTGCCTCATGGCAGGGAGTGCTCGTGATCCCATACAATCTTCTTGTGTCCATGGCTGCAGAGTAAATGACAGTAAGCTAGACTAGGTATACAGTTAGCAAGTCAAGTGAAGCGATCCATTAATTTTTTTCCCCCTCCTAACCAGTGAAGGAAGATAGGAGGACTTTTACCAGAAAGTAATGGATATTTTTGTGCAGAAGGAACAGCACATGGACTTTATTTATAAGTAAAGGGAACAGCAACAAGTTTCTTTTACAATGAAATGTGCATTTTGTGGGCTACAGTTTGTATATGTAAAGAATGTAGATATGAAACATAATTCGTAAACTGCTGCCATTCAAATGACAAATGAGCTACTGTGTAGAGTGCATATATTTGTAAATCTGATTCTGATGAAGTCAGTGCCTCACCAGCCACAAACCTCACCGCACGTCACTGATTCACTGTAACGAGTGCACAAACACAATATCAATTTCAAACAGGTGATATTGAAATAGGCCCGAACAATTCAATATTAGAAATGTTCACACCTTATTCAGTTTTCACAGTTGCCCATACAGTAGGTGGAAGCTCAAATGAGGTGAGAAATTCCTATGTGCAGTTTTCAGCAATATAGGTAAATAAAGCACAACTTCGTAATGGTTAATATAAAAGTAAGACCTTTATTAAAAGGCTATACATTACATTGTGTGCACAAAGATATGATTATTACAAAAGTAAAAACATGGCTGGTTGTCAGTCCAGACTTTAGCACAGTGATACAATGTCAGTGGTTAATGACCAATAGGTCAAAATGTATTGAAAATAGTTCATTTCTATAAATTAAATCTCCTTCTGTTAGCATGCTATGATAAGAAACTAATATAAAGATCAGAACCAAAGCGAACTTATAGTGTAAAGTAGTTTAGAGTTTTAATGCAGGTTCAGTGTGAAAATACTTGTGCACCATCATGACGGAATAACACTAAAGAGTGCGAGACTCCACATGCACATGGTTTCCACATATGCCATAGAGATAACAGTGTGAGTCAGGTTACACTGCAAAATGCAAGTGACAAAATCAATCATTACCAAATACTACAGATGTGCACAATTATGTAACACATTATGACAATGATAAAACTGGAAGGAGAGGCGGGAGTAGTGCACCACCAAGTGCAAACTTTTATCTTCAGTCAACAGATCACTTCTAACAGGATCAATAATCATATAAATGGTTTGTTCAGCAGCAGAGTTCAAGCAATTGAGTAGTGAAAGGATTTGCTGTGAGTAGACTTGCAGTGCCCTCTCTGGTCAACTCTAACAACTGTGTTACACACAAGAAAGTTCCAAAATGGACATTATGAAAATCTGTGGGGCAAATACAACATACTGTTTGAGTACCCTTGTAGCACAGTGTGTTTAGCATATTTATCATATCAACAACAATGATAGACTTGAGTGACATTTTAAAAATTATTTAGGCAAAAAAAAAGATCAGTGCCGCCTGGAAGTAAATCTGAATCTACTCAAACAACACAATATTAGTGGTTTTAAATGTGCCTTTCCAAGCACACTAGGAACTCCAAAGTCATTCTGGCTAAAACTACAGTTATGACTTCAACTGTAGTGCATCACAAATTAGTCTCAGTCAAAAATCCATAATGGGTTTCACAGTACAATGGATTTGTATGCAGATGACTTTCAATTATCATTATCAGCTTTGTTTAACTGAGCTAGTGCCATTTCATACTACCTTCAAAGCTTGTTTGGAAACATTGGGAGACCTGAGATGGTGTAGTGGCAAAGAGCCCATGGACAAGCTGGTCACATTTTGAAATAATCAGACATTGCAAATATTGCATACAATCAAAAATGGAACATATACACTTTTGGCACAAGCCAAGAGAGGGTAGCTGTCTGTTGTGTGTCTGCCTTCATCAAATTGCGACATGTGACAGCAGTTTAAAAAAAATTAAATCCAACCTGGAAAGATTACCTTGGACAGGAAGGCAAGTACCACCCCTGCATATAAACACCCATACATCTGTTAATCAGAATGAGGAATAACTGAAGTTATACTTAACATATTTTATCAGCAACAATGTAGAAGCCTGTCCTGAATCGGCTCCAACTGTCTTAATCAAAGAGAGGTGAAGCTGTTATGCCTCCACATCAGCCAATTCTGGGGGCATCGGGGACTTTGGATGCTTGCTTTCAAAGTGCTGCTTAAAGGTCTTCGGGTCAGGCATTTGTGTCTGAGAAAAGGTGGGAAAGAAAAAAGCAACAAATTAGAGAATTTAATATGCAATATTAATCATATGACGTGAAGTTTTGTGCATCAACAATAGGTTGAAATGACAACAGTTGACATCTGGTCTTTCACAACATGATAACTTAGCAGGTCAAAAGATACACTGTACACCATATTAAAATTGGCAGCTTGGTACTACGTAGTCAGAGCAGTTACCTTCGATAAATGGCTAAAGAAAACATACATTGTATCTACAGGTAACAATACAGGCAGCCAGTAAGTCTTCCATTAAAAGCTGTGGACAGGAAATAAAGCAGAAGCTTGCATATCAGGTCATAACCATCCCAGGCATTTACACTGCCATCCCTGCCAACACAAAGGCAGTTCGTCAGTACATTCAGCAGCGAACACAGACTGTGGCGGAGGTATGAATACAAGAAATGTGGAGCAAGCAGTTCACAAAAGCACTTGGAGTTCTGCCCATGTTCATACTTGCAATGTGCATCTGGACTGTCACTGAAGAGGGCACGACAGTCTCAGAAAGATGGAAAATCTGGGCAGAGACTCAACACATTACAGAACAAGAGCTTAGATTTTTTTTCAAAACACAAAATGAGTAAGTGCTAGCAATGGCTGTTTTTAAACACACAGGGGTTGATTTAGTCAAGAGCTCATTCTACCCCTGTGGAGTCAGAGAGCCAGGATGGAAAGAGGTTTAAACCAAGATGAAATATCACTGGCTCCTCTGAGCGATAGGACAAGTGAAACATCCAGATGAGTAGAGGAGCAGTGGTCAGGCCAGGCTGTATAGTTTGACCATGGCTCGGAGATAAGGAGGAGCAGTTCCCTTCCCTACATTGCAGTTTTTAACTGAATACTAGCAGCAACTAGGTGCCAGTGTAAAAGTACACCTAATAAGCTGATAACACAGTGCAGCTATTGAGAGTAGATGGATTAGGTAGAGTAGCTACACACTGCAAGGCTAAATGGACACTAAAGGGACAGGATACAGTACATGTTGTGTCTGGATCATACTTACAGTCTCTCTGATACACGTTTATAAGAAGTGTCATTGTTGAAAACAATTTAAATGTTTCTCAGTACTGCAAAGCATAAGGAATGCCTCCAGTCTTCCACATTTCATCTTAACTTTGTGGTTAAATGTTCAGTTTTTTGCTAAAGCACATACCCGACATACAGTGCACGTGAATACTAAAGCAGCCTTAGCTGCGGCCTTCTGGTCATGACCTTTGCTCTTCTTGATCTCCGCCTGCTTTTTGGCATTTTTCTGCTGGGACTGGAACTTCTGGTGCCCACGGGCCATATTTGATGTTACACCTGAAGAAATTATACAGGAGTAGGATCAGCCCAACGCCATTGAGAGAGTCATGAGCCACAAACTGAAAGAAAAAATAAAGTCTAGCTTGAAAACAATGACTTTTAGGAAGGGGGTGGAAACGGAAAGCACCAAGGGAATAAAAGTCACACTAACTAAAAATGTAAAGCAGTTACACCAGATGATGCTTTGAATAAAGCAACTCGATTGTTTGCAATTTAAGAAGACAATGTATTTCAAATTGTGCAAGACAGCAGTGGCTGTGAAAAATCTTTCAGAACTAGGTTAATTGCCACTTTTTGGGTCACATGGATAAAGCAATTAACTTAGATATTTCCCCAAAGAAAATCAGACTGCAGATTTTCAAAGTTATTATAGACACAATGTTGGAAGTAGGTCAGAGTTAAGGTTGTATGAACTCTGTTACTGAGTGACGGTCACAGGAGGGGGAATGGTGTACTGTCAACACCTTGGAGTCAAACAGCAATCCCAAAATTGTGTACGTTGCAAAGAAGCAGCCATTTTCTATTGGAGTGTAACTTTAAAACTTACTCGGCAAACATTTACATCCAAACGTCATCCATCAGTGGACACTGTGGGTGATCTGAGGTCAGTCTCCGCCATGCATCGCTCTCATTCGGCTAACGTTATCTGGGGATGCTGGGTTTAGCAGCACCGTTAGCCAACTTTGATGAGCATTACGTTTAAGAGCGACGGTTGAGAAAGATTACTGTAAATGATGGGGTTGTCTTAATAACACAAAACGCACATATTTTGCTGCATAAATATGACGTAGACATTAATGTTATTTCGCACTAATTCAGAGAGGCAAACATTGTGTGAGCCGGTTGCTATCACTGCCGCTTGGTTAGCGAGGCAGATCGAATAATACGGACAGACACATACACAGAATATCCATTTAGGTAAATATTATCATTAAGCAGTCATAACACGCAGTTTTCAAATGTCTTACCCGTATAAAAAATTGTATTACTGAAGACAGCTATCAAAACACAATTTAACTAACGCTAGGTAAAGTCCTCTGGACCTGCCGCTGATCCCAGTGCTTTGCCCTCACTGCACTTCTGCGCATGCTCAAGACGTAACCTACGCAGCCGTCATGGGCTGTCAGGAAGCGCTGAAGAGGCTCATCTCATTTCTTCATTTTGTGCCTCCTCGTCTCCTCCGTCCTCGGCCCTCCTGCCTGTGACCTGGAAATCGATCTTAAGACATCATTTTAAAGGACGTTTCCATTCCTAAAACAGCCTGGAAAAGCTATGAGCAAGTAGGGACATGTGTACAGTCTTCCCCCTCCTCATTTCTCAGTTAGTACATCCTTGATCCCTTTCCTTGATTTCTCCTATCGTCTCTTAGTCCCTCCCTCCAGAGATACAAAAGGAGGAAGCGAGGAAGAGACACGAGGAGGAAGGAGCTGAGGCAACAGACATTTAAAAAAAATCTTACATCCTTGCATTGGAGCTGATATGTTAAAGAGATGTCAATAAAATATGACTTTCAGTTGCTTTATATTGATCCTCTGTCAGATGAGCAGAGCAATGTTCAGGACATCCTACAGTGTGCATTTACTTATAATTGAGCTCACAATGTGGCAAAATATGATGTAAATGAACGGATGTCGTATGTTTTAATTTTTGAATGTGACTTGGAAATCAGTCTTGGTACATCATCACAAAAGATGTTTCAGTTTTTACAATGAACCTCGACAACAGATAATCGAGAATGGAGGAGCTGGAGGAGCTATGAGTGAGGATTGAAAGGTCTATGTATCCTCAATAAAGTGTTTTCTCCACCAGCGACATAAAGGAGGCGCAAGACATGGCTGGAACATACAAATCATGTCGGGAGCAGGACTGACAAATAAATGTATGTAAAATATATCAGGAAGTCATGATATGTTTCACTCTGTATTTGTATAGTACTCATTTATGCTCCCTCAGTCTTTCATACTTCTCCACACGTATAAAAAATATAAATGTATGACAGTGTTGCATTTTCTTCTCATTCTGCTGCATTGTAAACTGAGTTATAAGTACATTTATTCTCTTCTCTACTCATGTCTCATCCTCGCCTCCTCCGCTCTCTTCTCTGGTGGGAGGAACTAAGACGTGAGGAGAGGAGTCGAGAAAAGGAATCGAGGATGTGCAAATGGGAAAATGAGATGAGGGGTATAATACAACTGTCTGTCACGTCTTCTTATATTTCAAACACTTCATTAAGGAGACATTGAGAATACACGTGTGCATCCTCACTCATATCCTCTGGCAAGCCTCCCCTCTCCTCACTCTTTCATCCTCAAGATGCATTTTAGGGACTGAGACATCCTTCCTGTTGGTGTGCTGGGATTGATTTCCGGGTCACTGGGAGGAGGGTGCTAGACAGAGGAGAGGAGGAGGCTCAAAATAGAGAAATGAGATGAACCTCATTTTGATGGATCAAAAAGGAAATTTTCTGACATCACGTGAAGGCAGCATCTGTTTAATCCTTATTTTAACTTATTTACAAATTTGCAAAAATAACAAATAAAAAAATTCAACCACTGAAATTTTTTATAAAAAAGTACAACACATCTGCAGAGTCCACTTGTGAATGAGTTTCTGTCTGCACGGTGCAAGATTAAATACCTACCACAAGGTGTCACGGTACAACAATAAGGCCAACCAGGGACAGCAATCCTTCTGTACCTGCTACAGCCTTAATCAGTAACTGTTGGACAGAATAATGGTTAAGATAATGACCATGTATTTAAAAAGACTATCTAGCCTGACTGGGGCAGCGGAAAAGAAGTGGCTCTGATCAGTATGCGACATTTTGCCACTGAATAATCTTTCACTTAAAATGTCAAAGAAAAATTGTTAAAACGTGGACCAGCTAAGTGAGAAGGGTGCTAGTTGTCATTCTCTGCTTTTCAGCTAGAGAGCAGTTGGCACCAGAGCACAAAATAATTTCAAACAAACGCATCACTCAGTAAAAACACAATCTGAATTTCAACATCGGCGTGTCCGCCTTTCCCCCTCTTATTTAAGCCACGCCCTTCACCTCCGAACTGACCAATAGGAAACGACTGTGCCAACTGCGTAATGCAGGTAACCAATCAGCAGCGCCACCTTCGTTTTCTTGTTTATCCTGCCTCTTCAGGTGCCGCACAACCCATCTCTTAATTTAGCAACTTCTCCAAACAAATGTTAACTTCTGTGGTTTGCTCAGTGTGGACTCACATTTTACCTGACACCACGGACTAGGAAATATCTTTTTACGAGGCTGCATAAGATCACAGAGGATTTTATTTGCTGTTTGGACTAAAAAGTTAAACAGAGCCGGTGTCCTGCGGGGCTACGTTTTTTCTGTGTCCCACACAAACTTACCTGCACCAACTAGAAAGTCCAGTTTTCGGAGGAAGTCCTAGAAAACACCGGAGTCCTGGAGGCGAAATGGACATGGACAGGTAAGAGCAAGCAATTAATGTCAGCTTTATATCTGTTAATTTTACTTAAATTCGAATTTAAAGCTTAAGGTTTTTTTCTATACAGCTTTTGTCTCTTTTTATTATTATATTTTTTTATATGCACATCTGTAGCCTTTCTCTTACATAAAAACGTATAGTTTATTGCTTTAAAATGTATATAATAAAGAGCAATTTAAATCAAGTAGTGTCTCTAAAAGAGATAATATGTCATAAAATGTATCCTAGGCACAGAAATGATTAAATTCATATAATGCTAGTATAACAATTTGTGTAAGCAGAATCTTGTTATAATTGATTGGCAAGCAATTAAATGCTACTGTTTATATATATGTTATAATATGTTATACATTTTTCACTGAACTGTGAATATTATTTTTTGGACAGTATGAGGTTTTCAAAAACTGACATCTCACACATTATTTATCGTCATGCCAGTACCTCTGAACTACATTATTTTCCATTAGTTTTGTTAATTAATTGTGATTTATACAAGCAGTTAATCCTCAGAAGTGAACTTGCATAAACACACCTCACATGAGTCGGGCAACTGATTGAAGTCTGGTGAGAAACAGCCTGGGGCATACCTGGTGGCTTGGCAGAATGACTTCTGTTACTGACAGATCGGCTTTGCAGTAACAGCATGACTTACAGTCTCTTCCCATTGTCTTGTTGTTTTCTCAGTAAACGGCTGGTGGTGGTGGTACCAAGTGAGGTGGTGCCGTCCCGCAGAGTGTTCAGCAGTGAAGACGAGGCATGGAGAAGCTACCTGGAGAACCCACTGACAGCTGCCACTAAGGCCATGATGAGCATCAACGGAGATGAGGACAGTGCAGCGGCTCTTGGACTGCTGTACGACTACTACAAGGTGTGAAAGGCTTGACATGACAGCAAAAATAATAAACAGAAAATATCCATACAGTGTTCTTTGGACTTGTTTCAGATCTTATTTGTTGTATGTGCTGTAACCTGTCAGGTTCCTAGAGAGAGAAGACGTAGCTCCAGTGGTGTTAAACCCTCAGATCCTGCTGCTCTTGGGTCCAATAACTGCGGGAGCTTGGAGGAACTAGATCACCATCTTCAGGCTCTGAGGTCCATGCCTGTAAACCTCTCCCTAAACAACAGCACCACTAGCGAACATCAGGGCTCCAGGTATGGAGCTACGAACCTCTCAGGAGACACCAGAGGTGGAGATGGAAAAGGTGGAGGCAGTGCGCCTCTTGCTTTGGTCAAGACAGAGAGTCAGACATCCATGCCAGTTCCCTGTTCTGGTGGCTCCTACCAAGAAGAACCTAGAGAGCAGATAAGGATGGTGTACGAGCAGAACTGCTATGATTTGTCCCTCGCTGGTTATCTAAAAGATGAACAGAGAAGCACGCCGGACAGCACGAATGAGGATGCTGTAAGAGAAGAGGTCAGGCTTGTTATCTGGGGGGAGTGAGGTGGAGGTGGTGTTATGTCATGCTTTCAAAGTCAGGTTTACATTTTGAGACTCTTTTTTAAAATTTCTGCTTGATGCATAGTAGCTTCTCACGTTCCTCCATTTGAAACACACAGTAAGTACCGTCTTCGTTCACAGATGTACCACAGAAGCTCTTCCTCAGGAGATGATGCATTCCACTATAGCCAACCAATGTAAGTTGAAATTTTCAAATACCAGCAAATTATTATTTATTATTATTTATTCAAATTATTGAATTTCCCTTCTGGGATGAATAAAGTATTTTTCATTTCAAAGACATTATATGACCAAACGCCGCATATCAAAGAGAGTCACATTTGTGTGTACACAGGGTTCTGATACAGTGCTGTTAAAGGATAAGACCAGCAATGTTCTATAGTTTCTTTTGTCAAAAAATCCCATGTAAAGAACAAAACTAACACTCTGTCACTCTGTCTCTCCATATTTTATAACTTACCCAGCCTTTCTGTGGCACCAAACCCATTAGTTTTAACGAAGAAGTAAATCTTTAGAAGCAAAACACAAACATGTTTTTTTTTTTTAAAGGACTCTAATTCGAAATGGTGTATTTTCAGCAGAAAGTTAATACACTTTTGGTACTGGAGCAGGATAGTTGGTTTTAGACAACAGCAAAGCTTTGTGGCACAAAGGAACAAGATATATTAGGCTTTAGACACAGTACTTGTCAGTAGGCTCAAGTCATTGTTGGTTTTAGTCTTTTCAGATGTGGTGACAAAAAGAAAAAATTAGAATATCACCAGACTTATCATTTAAAATCGTGTTGTTGCACGTCAGAGTGTCTTTGATCAATAAAACAATCCATATCTGTCATAAGGACCACTTACCGCTGTAAAAAAATCCTTTTCATTTTCTTTTTGCAATATAAAGACACACCCTTTTCTCGACCAAGCTACTCAGTCCTGTCAAAAAATCCATCTTCAATCTTTTTGTTTTGTTTTTTATTAAAATGTTGACACAGTTTGGGCTAATTTTACCAATGTACAGTAATATGGTTGTTCTTATGAGAAAGAAGATATTCAATCTTTTTGATGGTGGCCAGACATTCCCACATGTGCTCATGTTCTTATAGTGACAGCTTCCAGTACAATCTGGAGGCCAGCATGTCACTTCGGCCGCGGCAAGGAGAAGGACCCATGGCTTACCTTAACCGGGGCCAGTTCTATGCTTTGACACTGTCCAAGACTGGCTTCAAATCATCTTTAAGGCAGTCCAGAGGCAAAATGAGTGGAGGGATGCTGTCACATAAGCCTAATGGAAGCCCATCCAGTGGTGAGCAAAGCACCACGAGAGGCTCTCAGCTGCAGCAGGACAGTCTTGTACAGGTGAGGGAGGTAAAACAGCACATGAGGAGGAAGTCTAGAGGCAGATGTTGAGTTTTACTGCAAGCCTATCATTGAGTAGCTTGAAATATTTTTGCCTGATTATACATTTGCTTCCACTCCAGAGTGTTATCATGGTTGTCTTTGGAGAAGACAAGTGCAGAGACGAGCAGCTGAAGAATTGGAAATACTGGCACTCCCGCCAGCACACTGCCAAGCAGAGAGTCCTGGACATTGGTAAGATGCTAGTTTTCCTCCACACTGCCATGCCTACCCTCTATATTCATGGCTGGATGGAGTTTAAAAATGTAGCAGATGGCGAATAGGCACGCTCATTTCAGTTTTAGATCTGACACTTAGATATAGATATTTTCCTCTAAGCTTCACAAAATCATCAAGATAAGCAGAGAGTAAGCAGGTGGCAAACCTGCAGCAAGCTGCAGGAGAATCCTGTCACATATCCTGAGGTGAAACTCGATATGAATTTGAATAACAGTCAATCCTCAATTCCCACAGGAGCTCTGTGAAGAGACAGCCTATGAGTCTTACATTTGCATAGACGTTAGCAGGAGGAATACTGTAGGTGGGGGCCTGGATTGCAGCCATATCCTGTATGATCAGCAGGAGACATGCCTCAGCCTGTGGTTTAAAACTCAGTGGAATGAACCAGCAGTGTCTTACAATGTGGTGTTTTTTTTTTTTTTTTGTCTCTGGTAAGCTTCTGCCAATAGCATCCATGGTACTGGCATTAACTTGCCATGGACAAGGTAGAGGAGCTTAAATTACAGTGGCCTTCTGGGAATTTTAAAGTCTGTTTATAGACAAAAAAGGCGTCACTGGGCCAAACAGAGGTGGAACGTTGACTCAGTGTATCTCCTCAAGTACTATTCCCAAGTACAGTTTTTGGTAATGCAACATTATCCTTCACTGCATTTCTGTTCCACTACATTTTAGTTGTATCTAGTTGGGATCTCTTTTCAGGTATCAGTGGATTGCTCCACTAAAGTAGTATTTCAAAAAAGTGCAATGGTTAGAGAAGAGTCTAAAAGGCAAATGCAAATTTATGTATTAGAACCTTTTTCTGTGACCTCATGCCACCTGAATCCCTAGATTTATCTTGTGACCTTTTGGAGAGGGGGCAGACCCCCAGGGTGTGAACCACTGGACTAAACTACTTTAAAATAGTAACACTAACTCCAACTTAACAACAGCTTGCTGCTTTTGCTTCTGTGTGTCAATATTACCAATGAAAATGAAGCAAGATGTCGTATATAAAAGATGTTCGTAACTACCATGACTTTGGCTACTGGTTTGTGGACTGGAGTCAGAATTGGCAAACTAGGGGTAGATGTGACTGAGAAACCAAGGACACCATACACGCCCATATGGTAGCAAACTGTCAACCACAATGTAGCCCCACAATAAATCATAGCTTGCTCTGTTGTCTGTTTTACTCTAAATGGGACCATAACTTGGAAAAATGAACATCATGCTATATTGAAGGAGAGTTTAAACTTGCAATTGAAACCATAACCTTATTAGGAAAATGCTTTAATGAGGTGACAAATCAAGAAACAAGTAGGATAAGTTTCTCATAGACTTCTAAAAAATATGACTTCTTTTTACAGCCAGATGAGTCGCCCCCTGCTGGCCATTAGACAGAGTGCAGGTTATTCCACAATAACAAGTTCCACATTGAACAACCACTGAAACGGTTTTCTCCCATTTTTTCACTTTGCATGCAGCTGACTACAAGGAGAGCTTCAGCACAATTGGAAACGTGGAGGAAATTGCCTACAATGCCGTGTCTTTCACATGGGATGTCAGTGAAGAAGCAAAGGTAAAAAAACAAAAAGGGTAGATGAAGAACAAGCAAAAACAGGCACATAATGCTGTTTATGTCAAAGCAAGAAAGAACTCTTCTGTAAGTGAAACAGGATGAATAAACATGCACTCAGGTAATTACCTCTATTTTGTTTTACTTTACTTTCTTAGGCATTTGTGAGTAAGAAATCACAATTATTTATCTTGAGGACTTTGTCTATACTCAGCTATGAGTGGGCTGTTGACACCTTTTAGTGTCAGAATAGTTGGAGATTATATGCAGACCCTTCCATCTTCCCCCAACCTTTTTGTCCTCCACGACAATAGGAGCGTCTCCTTCTTTGTGTTCAGTCATCATTTAAGGTTGCAGAGACGCCGGCCTTGGAAACAAGCTATTCAGATTTCACCTTTGTAAAGGTGGTCAGTTGGATAAAGACGAACCGCAAACAACAAGTTAACACACCCGCGCGCACACACACACACACACACACACACACACACAAAGAATGAGCCCATCCTGAGGCTGTTTTGGGCCCTGTGGCTCCCATTTAGCTCAAGTTTTAATGAGAACTCTACAAACAGCCTCAGTGAAAGACAGGTAATTGCAGCTTTGCTGGTTTGTGGATAAATATTTACTGCTTGGCACACACCTTCACTACACTGTAATTGTTGTCAGTGTGTTCAGGTGGTGGTATGAAGACACAACATCAGACTGCGTACTTGTACACCTGACCAGTCATTTGCCATTGTGTACCGTACCACTGTTTTCAGAACATTGTGTAGATCTTGAATAGATGAAAGAAGCTACATCTCAGACATCAGTCTTTATCTTCAGTGATTAAAGAACGTACACATCCAGCTACAGAACACATCACTCCAGCTTGCTCCAGTGATTAAGGTTATTATGGAGGCTTACAAGAGACAAATTTAATTAAATTTGATGCAGCAAAGATGAACGATCTTCATTTCTGTTCTGTAATATGGGCTCATGGCCCAACACATTTGATCCTACATACCCCATAAAGCAAGCTGACTGTATCTTTTTGATATAACCTCTTTGTCTGGTAAACACTCCACATCTTTTCTTTCTTTAAGACTTTCTAATGCCAGTTTCAGGTTTGTGTTTTTGGTTCTGAATAAAACATCTATGGCAATTAGATGAATTGTCATAAAATGTGTTACCATAGGGCTGCAAGGTGGCGCAGCTGGTTAGCTGGTTAGGTTGCCGGTTCGCGTCCCGGTGGGGGCACCGGAATCTTTCTGCGTGGAGTTCTCCCCGTCCAAAAACATGTTGCGGTTAATTGCGGTCTAAATTGTCCATAGGTGTGAATGTGAGTGTGCTTGGTTGTCTGTCTCTGAGTGTAGCCCTGTGATAGACTGGTGACCTGTCCAGGGTGTCCTCTGCCTTCACCCTAAGTCAGCTGGGATAGGCTTCAGCCCCCCTGCGACCCCAGTGAGAATTAAGTGGTGTATAGATAATGGATGGATGATGCAATACGTAACAGTGGACAACAGTTTGTTGCACCAAATATTAAATAGATAATCTTAGGTGTGAGTTTGCCTACATTTGATAGAATCTTTTTTTTTTTTTAACTTCTTTTCTTTAGCGTGCCTTTAACTTTATTCACAGTACACAGCTGTAATTGTCAGGTAAAGAGTGAAAGAAGCAGTTCCCGAAACCACTGATTACAAGAGCAGGTCATCTCTGTTTTTTGTTGATTGTGAATGGGAATGTGTGGCTTTGCTGCCAAATGTAAACCAGATGATCATTATCAGCCTTTCTGCTGCACACTGACTCATAAGCCTCCATGCACGACCAGAGGCTGCTGGAAATAAAGTGGAGGAGGTTGAGAAAGAACACCCCTGTTATTGTGAGGAAATCTGATACTTCACATGTCACAGCAGTCATTTCTCTCTTTTTAGTCCTGTCTAGTGCCACCTACAAATTTAGGTTTCCAAACGTAATTGGATGCCCAAGCAGACTTTGATGGCCCGACATACAAAATTTATATTTTTGGTGCAAATTATATTTTTTTCTTTTTGTTTTGGCATGGCTAGGCTGTTGCCAGGCAACAATCAGTGTCCTCATTGTTACAGAGTGTGAAATGTGTTGGTAGGGGGAGATGAGCAGCTTCCTGCAGCATGACTCTGTATTTGTGTTTGTTTGTTTCTGCCCAGTTGAGCGGATGGCACTGAACAGCCACTTTACTGTACCCTCATGACCTTCTTGTTTTTTGGGAAGGTATTTGATTGTTCACACATGCAGCAAGCGCAAACACAACAAGCCTCCTACATACACAGGCACACACGCGCGCACGGGTGCGCTAGCAGCATTGCGTCCGGTGCTTGTGGAAAAATTTAAATGGCTTGGGTCTGTGGAGGTGTGAATTTGTGGAGGTGTGTAGGAGGCTCATTTGTGCTCCAGGCCTTTCCAGCAATCAGCCCTCACCTCTGCAGGTTGAGACACGATGCTGTTGATGCTGTGTAGTGGGAAAATTGCTGTTGAGCTGCAATGAGGAATCTCTACCGTTATCCGTCTCCGCCGACCTGTTGCTCAAGCTGCCAGTCCTGTTTAACTGGAAAATTCAACAGGATTTCATGTTAGTTTAGGTGGTTTGGTGTTAATCATGAGAATCTGTTCCATCAGGTAACTAAATGCGTGATGATAGAAGATGTTTATCTTGTATGAAATACCATAGTAATGGTACTATATAGTTATTTCTAGGAGATTTAGTAGATCCTTCTCTGCAACATTATTTAGCTTTGAGAAAGAGAGATTTTGTACCAGAACCATGCCTTTCTAAAAGCTGTGACACTGAGGGGTCTGCAACAATATTAAATCAATGATAAATTCAGTGTGAAAATCACACTTTCTTGTGTGTTTTTAGTTGATGCATTTAAATTTAAAGCTCATTTATTGTCATCCATGAGAGAAATGGGACATGTTTGCATGACTGAGCGTTGCTTTTGGCCTGTGAACTGGTGCTGCTGTTGTGACTCATGACCCTGTGACCCTCTCACTCATCACTTTGCAGTTTATGAGTCAGGTTGAAATTCATTTGAAAAACAAAAATCTCCTTCAGATCTCTCTACCAGACTAGCTGTTAAACAAACTGAATTTTAACTGAGCCGGGGGCAGGCAAATAACGGGTTCTCATCGTTAAAATAAAGGCAGGAATAGCTTTATTATCAGGTGGTGAATGAAAAAGAAAATTAAAGGGATGCATATTGCATCCTAGAAACCCTGTTTGCCTTCCCAACTCAGTCCTGACAAGATTTTCAGAACTGACTTCTCAATTTCGGTTTCTTACTTGTAAACCATCAACCTACAGAACCTTGTTTACAGCTACTGAGATGATCTGAAATGTCTTAAAGGGTGTCCAAGATTTCAGATAAAACTAAGTAAGGCCCCTAATATTCCTTCAGCACCACTGTCAGCTGACTAACATGTATAATCATGATACAATTTTCCAGACTTTTGTGCCCATAAGCTTTGTCCCAGTTCCCTTTTCACAGATACAACCTTCCATGCCTTTAAAATAGTTTAAATTGAAATAGGATGTTTGTAAAATCATTAAATTAGATAAATAATAGTACAACTGAACTGTCAGTGTCAGAGTTGGCTTGTTCAGGCTATAGACTGTACGTGTGTCAGGGTTGTATAACTATATCTAGAGCAAACTCTTTTTATCTGTTTATCTGTAACCTTTAGAGAGCTTTGCGTCCTCTCTGGTTAACTGTTAACTAGTTTTCAATGCTTATAGTGCTAAGCAGTTACAGCTGGATATATCTGAAGATACATTTCTTAATTATAATTATTATTTCAGATTATATGAGCTGTTCCACAATCTTTTCATGTTCTGCTTGGCAACTGCAGAACTACCGTCTGTGGTACAAGCGTGAATAATCAGTGCTGTATGACAGTAGTTTGACATCTAAGTCTCATTTTTGGTCTCAAAACTCAAAAGATATCCCTTGTCTTTTGTTTCATTTCTGTTTCGTAGGTCTTCATCTCCGTTAACTGTCTGAGCACAGACTTCTCTTCGCAGAAAGGTGTAAAGGGAATGCCTCTGATAATTCAGATTGACACCTACAGCTACAACAGCTGCAGTGGCAGGCCCATCCATAGGGCCTACGCTCAAATTAAGGTCTTCTGCGACAAGGTGAGGTGTCAGTTGTCTGGTCTGGACAACAATGAGCAGATAAATTAGACTTGGAATAAAGTTTTTTTTAGTTTTTTTTACTGTCTTTTAACACATTCTCCTTTTCCTTGTGTGTGTTGCAGGGTGCAGAAAGGAAGCTACGTGATGAGGACAAAAAGCAGCTCAGGAAGAGGATGAAAGGTAAAAATTAGCTTTCTTTCTTCTTCATTTCAGCTAAATAATGATAATTTGATATTTATTACATTTACAAAATATATGGTTGTGTGTTTGAGTTAAAATCCACTGAAACAAGGTTACAAAGCACTTTCCTGGAAATATTAAAACTGAATGGAACACAAACTAAATGGTAAATGAGGACAGAAGTGGACTTAAACAGCCAGATGAATCAATTAAACCTCATCCAATCTGTACTTTTAGTGGTTGCCTGGCAACAGATGCTGAGGTTCATGCTTTCTCTGAATTAGGTAAAAATGGCAGCTCAGGGCAGAGCTCTCCCATTAAGAGGGCTGAAAGCACACTGTTCAAAAGCCTGCTGGACCTGGACTCCCAGCCTGTTCTTTTCATTCCTGGCGTCTACTTTGGAAACCTGCAGAGAGCAGGGCAGGTGAGAGACTGCTCTCCCTGCAATACACACACTCATAGAAGTGTCTGCATCTACACTTGCGTCTCATGTTGCTCCTGTATTATTTGCAGGTGTTTGCTTTCAACACTGAGGAGGTCGACAGAGATGGGTGAGCATCACACTGGACAAAACTGTCATGCGTTGCAGTTCACTGCAGCATGTACGCCTTGAGTGCTTTATTTTTTAATGATTTCTCCATGGTGATGATACCACAAAAGGATAGCTAAAGATATGGATTTGTGATAATTCATTTTATCCCTACCTTATACAACGGAAGCAGAAATAAAAACATCCCTGTTGTTTAGAGAAAGTCATAATTTCAAAGCAGGGATACAGTTGGATTCCTTTCACATGACGTGTGTTTATGTGTATGTGTGTGTGTGTGTGTGTGTGTGTGTGTGTGTTCATCAGAGGTGTTCTGATGAAGAGGGTTTCACATGTTGGTGAAGAAGATGTCTGTCCCCCTCAGCCGAAGAAGTCCAAAGTGGAAGTGGAAAGGAAAGGTAACTTACTTCTCATTACAAGCTCTTGTTCTTACACTGCACATCATTTGACAGAATGAATGAATGTTACTTCTTGCTTCATCAGTTCTACTGTATGTGAGAAAGGAGGGTGATGAAGTGTTTGATGCCCTAATGTTGCGCACCCCAACCCTCAAAGCACTGATGGAGGCAGTGAGTACTGACAAAGTATTGATTGAGCAGCTGCTCGCTACAGAAACTGAACTAAGTCAACCATTGAACAAAATATCCATCACAGAACAGCGAGTCAGCAGGCTGCTTGAACATATTTAAATTGCACTTTTTCTTTACAGATCTCGGAGAAATATGCATTACCTGTTGACAAGATGGCCAAAGTTTACCAAAAAAGCAAAAAGGGGTGAGTCAAACTTCATAAAAGAAAGACTCTGCAGTTGTACTAGCAGCTCTTTCCAGCAACATACTGATGTTCACCAGGTAATGTTTAATATGTGCAGCATCGGATTATTAACATGCTATCATTTGCTGATTAGAAAACATGTATTTTTATGTTATTGTGTTCATGCTTTGATAAGTGCTGAAAACCAAATTTTATAATTATTGTTTAGACAAAGAACAAATGCAACTGATTGGAAAGTTTAGTTTAGTTTAGCTCACAAACCAAAGTATTTGACAAACTGAAAGTTAAGCTGAATGATGAATCTAGATGAAGAGCTGAAGTATCGTAGAAGCTATTAGAATTCATTCTGAGGGGGTTAGTTGATTTTGGTTGAAATAGGGAAGTAGAAAAAAATGTTTGTGCATCGCCACAATATAAAAGGTACATTGTCTGGGAATGTCTGCACAAAATTTAGTGCTAATCCATCAGTAGATGTTGGGATATTTTCGACTGCTCAAAAGCAATGGATTGAGCCACTGACAGATATACAATAACATAGACTCTAAATATGAGATGAACCTCTGGGTTTGAAGAGAGAAGCCAATGTGGAAGTGCCCTGGGCTTACATTCTCTCTGATGGCCAGCAGGGGGCAACTCCCGTGGTTACTGTGGTATAGTCTAAAAAAAACCCAAAAACTACTTCTGACCCTGTTTGTTACCTCAGTAAACCTTTTGGTGATGGGTTTCTGGTCTCAATCATTAGTTTCAAATTTTCTCCAATACAGCACAGTGTTTAGTAAATTATGGCCTTATTTACAGTAAAATGATGAATAAGTAGAGTACAGTGCTTAACAAATCTATTAGACCACCTGTCTCATTTGTTAAGCACTGTATACATACATATAGACCATCCACCATCATGAAGTGCTTTAATGCACACTCAGCTCTGAACGTTTTACCATTTTGAACAGAAATGAGGAATTCAAACTGAATTCACCTTTTTAAACCCAAATCTGAGCCACTGGGTCACGTTCAACCACTAAAACTAATTTTTCTGTTGAGGAATGCAAGTAAATAACTATAATTTGACATCTTAATCAAGAAATAATAATGTGCTTTACTATTTTTTCTGTTCTTTTTTTTGTAAAACAGTAAATTTGAAAATTCATGGATCCCAGTAATAATTATATTTTAGCATGAAAATATAATTTCTGTCAAAGAGCTTCTACATACTGGTGTATTAACCTTTAGAGAAACACAACAGTCAATCAATCAATCAATCAAACTTTATTTATAAAGCACTTTTCATACATGACATGCATCACAAAGTGCTGTACATTACAGAAAACAATCAGAAGGGATCAGGGGATACAAAATAAAATACAAAACCCCATCCACCCTCCCAGTCCACATTTAACACAGAATGCCACTCACACACACACACACGCACACGCACACACGCACACACACACGCACACAGGTCTCTACAGGAAGCCACAGAGGACCGAGGAACACATGACACATGATTTTGGTCATTACCAATGCTGTTCATTTAGGGCAGCTGTGACATAAACCTGACATTGGGTGGTGGTCTAATAAGCTTGCTAAACACTGTATGTCTAAGTGTGTGGCTACCTTGAGATCGACAAGTTGCTACTGTATGGCTGTATCACCCTGAGTTCTCATTCAGGTCCGTTAATGTCTGGCTTCAAAAGAGCAGCATGACAACAAATTCCAAACAAGTCTTTCTCATCTGTTCACTGTTTTCCTCAGGGTCCTGGTGAACATGGACGACAACATAGTCCAGCACTACTCCAACGAGGACACCTTCACCCTGGCTATTGAGAGCTCAGCCGACTACTTGCGAGTGACTCTGTCGGAGATCTGACGCTTGTTGGCTACAGCACTGCATTTATGGGTGATCGCTAACTGAGGTGATCAAGTTCGCCAATGTTTAGAAATGTATGAGCATTGTTAGCAGTATTAGAGCCAGAGTGTGTTCTTCGAAGGCCATGTGGGAGCGACGGCAGGATTTGTTGCCCTGTACAGACCACTGGCTCCGAGAATGGGAAACCCCCACATGCCTAACTTCTGCAGCTCATGCTTAGTGAACAACCTGTCATGGGAGGAATTCTTGCACTCGTAACACAGGCTTATTAAAATTGAAAACCTATGGATGTGATGTAGGTGTGAAAAGTTTCTTGACCTTTTCTACCTTATTAGCTCGTAGGAATTCACTTTTGAAACTCTTTGTGTAACTGTGACTAAGATGAGATTCTATCCAGGTCATCACAAAGCATCCAGCCAGCTTGTTGCGGTCTCACAGGAAGAAGACATTATATATTGGATTAACAGCAGGGAGCACTGCTGTTGGCTTCCTCTGTGCTTTCTGCCAGCCTTCCAGTTACCTCTTCACAGAAAGTCTATGCAACATCTTTTTGTTCCACAGGAGTGTTCAAAGTTATGGCTAATTATTTTGTATGTGTACAGTTATTTTTATGATGTGTCTTAAGGGAGTGTACTTTAATCTGTATTGGTTGTCCGTATTTTTTATTGTTGTTTGATTGGTCATGTTTGTACTGCATACTAAATGTTTCCTATTGGTGCCAGTGAAATAACTGTTATCCCAGGTTATGACTACCTGCCACTGTCTCAGGATCTATAATTACATGAGGCATCATTATGAAACAAGACTGCCAGTCTCCAGGATGCCGTTAAACCATTCTGCTTCCTCTGTGCGTGTGTTTATTGCTTTTCCTCTCACTAAAGAGACTGTAGTCATTAGTATTTATGACATTCGTTAGGGACTCGCAATGCTCAACTGGTCCATTCATTTACATAGTCTTCTTATAAGGCTACGGCTAACTGTCAGCGCTCAACAGGAGGATGTTGTTGTTTTTTTTTTTACCTACCCACTGCCTGCACTCATACCGGATTCACTGACACCTTCTTTGTCCTTCATATGATGTACAGTCTATTAAATGAGCCAATAAATATAGTTTTATATGCAGTCTATTGTCTCTCCTTGTCTGTGGCATCAACGCTAAAATTTACTGCTTATATTTTACAGCACAGCAGCTTTCATGAACAACTTAATGACTTTATTAGCACCTAAATAATTTATTATTGGCTTTGAATTGCCAGGTTGTGAATAATTTCTTTGGCTGATGTTTATCCATTCTGTTTGGCATCTGCGTTAAGTGTTAATAAATGGATTTGAGTGGTCATGCAACATAATTGTGGGTATACATGGCTTATACTTTGGCTAGCATGTATAAAAGCTGCTATAAGTGCATAAAGACGGAGAATGATACAATTTTGCTTTTTCAAGTACTATGTGTTACAATTCAAGTGTCAAAACTCCAAAGATAATTTCATAGAGCCTTTAGCATTGATCACCTACAGACAGTTATTGGCTTTGAGTTGCCAGATTTTCAAACTAAATCTAGCATAAAAGAAAGGCAACTGAAGTAAGCACACAAGTTTCAAATTTCAAATGGTATTTATCGAAGAAAGAATCTTATCCAATACCTAAATCAGTAATGTGGAAAAGTTAGTCGAGCCACTTTTAGCAGCAGTACCTGCAGCCAAACCCTTCAGATAACTTGATATCAGTCTCCAGTGTTACTGTGGTGGAATTTTGACCAACCCCTCTTTGTTGGATTACTTTAGTCCAGCCACATTCATATTTTCTTTGATTATATGGTGCTGCCATGACACAGCAAAGCCTCTCTACAACATCATACTGCCACCTCCATGCTTGACAGTATATAATATTCTTTCAGTGGAACTCTGTGTTAATGTCTGTCTTCCAGCTAGTTCCTCCTTTGACCCATCAGTGCATAGGCGTGACAAGGTTCATCATTTGTAGATGATGTTTCTCACTGTTAGTCCCAGAGCCTTCGAAATAGTTTTGTAACCCTTACGTTCCCTTCACCTTCCTCTCTTCACCTCATCTCTTCTGGAATTTCCAGTTATCAAGGCAGCTTGGCAGATTTAGTCATGGGGGGGTTTCACACTCTAAAAAGCATAATATTATCCACATAACTATATGGAAAATGTCTTACAGTGGTAGGAAAATGTATGCATACCCTGTGGTGTTACCTGCATTTCTGTACTTAAGCTTAAACAAAATAAAGACAACCACAATGTCCTAGTAAACATAACCATATTTTAAACATTTTTAAAATGTTGTTAAATTTTTTACATAAATGCAAATTATTCCAAAGGGATGACCTACCCTTTCTCTTGCATGCTCAAGTTTTTAAGTATGAGTCGAATGATGAAAAGATGTGCATAAAGTCATGATGACTAATGTGACTAAAAAAAAAAGTCTCTTCTGGTGACCTGCTATTGGCTGTTTGAGGGCTCCAGACAGGGCATTGTGGGTAGACATGATTGTAGTTTTTGAGAAAACTATTTCACATTTAGTGTGTTACTGAAAGCGGCTTGGATTTATACTCACCAGCCCAGGCCTATGAAGCAATATAGTTTCAACCATTAGTTACGACTTAAATCCTTTATGGAGGTGGTCCTGTTTGAAAGTGGAACCCGTTTGGCTTTACTGGAAACTAAAGTTAGCAGGAAGTGGGTGCTAAGCTCCCGTCACCTCCAAATAACTGAAGACATTTTTACTATATCAACTTGAAGTTTTCCAGCAGGCTGTGCCACTGTGTTTGGCTCTGCAGTCAGCAATCAGAATAATGGACACTGAGATTGCAATTCAGCGTGCATGCAACAGTGATCTCATTTTAGCAAACAGAACAGACAAAAGTCATCATTTCACATTACAGGTGTTGAAAACTGCTCTGAAAATCCACAGAGGAGCAGTTTGGGTAGTTTGCTTCAGTGGATGTAGTTTTAGCTATGGTAGTGGTGTAACTGTGTTGATCCATCAGGCCGCCTCTTTGGTCCAGAGTCAACAACTACTGGATGGATTGTCATGAGATTTTGTCAGGATGAATCCTAATGACTTTAGTGGCACCTGCTTCATCCCATAAAAGTTCATTTTCGCTACTATTATCAGATTTGTCATCACAGTGCTTTAGATTATGGCCAAATAACAAAAGACATTTCCATCACCAGCAGCTGTACTTTGGCAGCTGTTCCCAAACGTGAATATGTCAACATGTTTAACTGACAGAAAAAATATGGTAAAAATTGTTGAATACTGAAATGTTTAAAATCTTAACATTGTAAATATCTGTAGAATTATAGTATTTATAAGCTGATTTAAATACAGTAAAGTGGTATAATTTTAGTGTCAAAAATGTTAAAATAATGAATTACCATTGACAAATATACAGATTTTTGATGTAAAAAAGTATACGTCAAAAATAATTATGTACATAATTATGTACAATTTTGGTTCGTTTTTTTGTTTGTTTTTCCCCAGTCAGTGTGAAAATATTTTTTTCTGTGATTATTCTAGATATTTGTAATAAAATAAGTCAGGGAAAGTCTGTCAAACAATAGTTAAAAAAATATTTACATTTTTTTTCAGTCATTAATAATGTTTTCCCCTTTAAATACAGACAAATATCTGTGAAATAATAATAGTTTTTGTTGATTTAAATAATGTAAAAGAATTGTCCGATTTTACAGTCACAAATTGTAAAAGAGAAACAAAATACAGTTTGTAAAAATACAGATTTTTAAAATATGGACATTATTTACAGTTTTGGCCTGTTTTCTCCTTTTTCCTTTTAGGGTCAACATGTAAATCCATTTAAAAAAAAACAAAAAACTGTAATTTTACTAGTTATTACCTGTAATGTAACAAGATTGAAAATGAGAAAAATAACAGTAAATTTTTCAGAATTTTTTTATTTATTTATTTTTTACAGTGCTGATGTGATTCCTGTGTGTGAGTGTAACTGAATGCAGGTAAATATCGTATAATGGTACATGCAGCTCACATCAGGTGGAATTTTTCAGTCCAGCTCAACAACAGACTAAACTGTAATTTAATGCTGCACTAATTTATTGTTTTGTGTATATACACCTAGCTTGTCGTGTACTTCAGTATTGTACACATTTTTGTGATTTGTGTGAATGACTCCCACAACACTGACATTTCTGATAACCCAGCTTTTATATATTATGATACAGAAGTTCCTTTGGTCCATCCAGTGCTCTACTGAGATCAGCAGTAAACTTGGTCCACTCGCAGCGTAGAACAATAAAACCACACCTAATGTTGTGTGGGTCCCCCTCTTGTTGCCAAACAGCTCTGACCCCTTGAGGCATGAAGATAGGACCTCTCGGGGTGTCCTCTGGTACTGGGATATATGCAGCCATCATTTGGATCTTGGGGGTTTCAGGGTGGGACCTCCTTGGATAATATTTGTTCCTGTGCATTCTGTAAATGCTCATTTGGGATTTGGGGAGTTTGAAGGTAAAGTCTGCGCCTTGGGCTCTTTGTCACTGTCATGCAGGGAGAGGCTGCTGCATTGGAAAGTGTTGTTGTCAAAGGGCCCTGTGATAGACTGGTGACCTGTCCAGGGTGTCCCCTGCCTTCGCCCTAAGTCAGCTGGGATAGACTCCAGCCCCCCCGCGACCCTTGTGAGGATTAAGCGGTGTATAGATAACGGATGGATGGATGTTTTCAAGGGGAGGTGTCGTTAGCAACAGCCATGTTTAGGTGAGTGCTGTGTCAAAGTAACGTCCACATCGATGCCAGGACCCAAGGATTCCCAGCAGAACACCGTGCTGTGACAAGATGATCAGACGTGATTTACTTTACCTGCCAGTGCTTTTAATGTTGTGGCTGATGAAGGGGGTCCAGTACAGACGGCTGACCTCACAGACCTTACTACACCATCTATGCATTTATGCTTGTGTCTCATGCGACTCAAATCAGGGACAGGGACCAACTTTTAGCAATACTAGAACTACAACCTCACCAGTGCTGGAAAGTGCTCCATGCTCCACTACCATGCTTAAGTATAATACTGAGGTACTTACAATTTATATTTCAGCTGTAGTTAGTTTCTAGAAAAGGCAGAAACACAAAGCATTGCAACACACAAAATTAAGCCACTTTACAGGAAAAATGAGTAAAGTTAGCCCTACCAAAGTCAGTTGCAACATATCAATGAATCAATAACAAAAATCCAATATATAGATACATTTAAACACTTTGATACCAGTAAATTGCGCAATGGTTTCTACTTTCAACCATCCTTTTCTTGTCATTTAAAAGTGAACACATACAAAGATGCCAGTATGTCCTTAACAAACTAAAACCCACAATATCACACAATTAACCAGACATCACACAAATACTTGCACACAATATATTGTAAATTTAATTCTTGCCTTTTAAATTGACCAAAAAACAGAATCCTGTGTTCCAAAACTGCAGTCACTAAATACAGGATACCTTACAAAACCTACAAAATGCAACAATTACAAACAATTTTGTTCAACATATAACAATTGTACAGTATAAATTTATACAATACTGTTTTTGTTTTTATTTGGCACTCGACCACAAGATACTATTTTGGAGTTTTAACAGAAGTGTTACACCTGACACTTTTTTTTTTTTCTAAAAAAAAGAAAAAAGAAGAAAAACAAAGGACAGGAAACAAGAAAAAAAAAAGATTTAAAAAACCTATAAAAGCGACACATTGTGACAGTATCATTGCAGTAGTTGTAATCCTTGGTTGGTCTGCATCTTTTTTTTTCTTTACAAAAAAAAAAAACAGCAGTTACTCAATTACACATTCAAAGCTTTTCTAATCAGAACACAACGCAGTAACTGAAACGGCTTCGCTCGGGCCTGGAGGAGGACAGTCAGCAGAGCTTGAAGAGGTTCTTTTTAAAATTTTGTTTATGTTTTCTGTTGAAGCTGAGTGAAGACGAAGAAATTAGGAGAGAAGACTGGACCAAAAAAAAGGGAAATAAATTCTCCCCTTAGAATGTAGAGGCAACACTTGAACTGATGTGTGACTGAGTGCATGGTATTCATATGTATTTACTGGAACAGTGTACATTCAGTTTCACTCAAAGTGTCCTCTGAGCCGCTGCCCTCTGTGTATATTGGACCTTGTTAGGGATTAAATTGGTTGTTGATTTAATTATTTGCCTCAGCTGCAACAGAAAACAGCTCTCAGCGATGACTGCCCAGCATTCTTACATGTACATGTGCATGATGGTCGTCCTAAAGCTCCTCTTCCGTGAAATCATTCACATGAACCACTAGATGTGTCAGCTTCGGCAGTCCATACTCCAATCCAATAACACTGACCACTGGTAGTACTAACGCTGACAATACTAACATACAGAAGCGAGCACAGAGCTAAATGGATGACCGGCTGTTTGATATCCATACATTAAAAACACACACATGCTTATGCGCACATGCATACGTGTTATTTTTATTTCTACGCACCTCCTGTACCCAACATGCTGCATTTCAAAACATCTAAAAGTGAACGTGAAGAAACGCGTCTTTGCCCTTCACATAGTAAAAGTCAACAAAAAGAAACTGGTTTGCATGCTTGATATCCCGCAACAGCTTAAATAAACAAACATCTTTTAAAATTATTAATATTATTTCACAACATTTGTTCTCAACGGAGTAATCTGGACTATGAGGATTTGTTTTACAAATTTAGATGCACTTTAAAATATCTACACTGTACTCAAATACTTGTAAAGACTAGTTTTCTATTGTTACCTAAAGCTAGAGCGCAGTAACTCTCTCTGTTGTTACTGATGTGAAAGAAACCACTGGAACAGGTGATGGATCGAGGGATTCTTTTCTTCCTTCATCAGGGAGACTTCCCTAAAATCAGACTGCTGATTTGGGTGCTTATGCATGGTAGCACAATATTATATGTTGTTGTTGTTGTTGTCCCGGCATAAAATCTATGAAACAAAGTCTATCAAGTTTGCAAAATACACAAACACACATACACATTCTCACAGTAGAAAAGAGGAAAGCAGTACTCGCTCTGACTGAAGGACAAACGTCACAGGTCCCGTCTGCACATTAAATGATCTCATTTACAGCACGTCCAACACCATCATGTCTCTTGTTTCCCTCTTGTGGTCTCATGCACACACTCTGTCTATTATACATATTAGAGTGATACAGGCTCTGTGTGGCCCCCGGCTGGAGCCTCAGAGGGGACAGAGAGCCAAGCAAAGACACTGATACAGAGACTCCAGTTTATACTGCATATATACAACCAACCGTAGACCTTCCTTATACTCTGACATGCCATTCGGAGAACTGAGGGGTTCAATTACAATCAGTGGGGTTTGACAACCTGATGAGAGATCAGTCTCTGCTGGGAGTTTGGAGGGTGCGGATAAACAGCTTGAGAAGGGAGGCGGGGAACTGGAGAATGTGGCTCCTGTGTCCATCTTTGAAATGTCCTCAGTGTACATATTGAAGGCCTGTCTTCTTCATCGTCATCATCTTGTCATTCTTCATCATCAGTGTGCTCCATAGTGGAGAGTTGCGGGCATTTAGTCACCCAAAGAAGCACTGCAGAGACACAAACGAGGCAGTCAGATGAGCAATGTGGCATAGTTGTTACTTTGTTGGTTTGCACATACAGGCAATATAAATACCAGCACATGCAATGTCTAAATAAACTGATTGGCTGAAACAGTTTGATTATAAACAATGGATGTTTAAAATGGAGTCTGTGACATTTTAGATTGATATATCAAGTATTTTCTAAAATTCAAAAGGACTAAAAAAGGCAGTTGACCCACTTTAAACACGTTTCATCTCACACTGAAATTTAAGGCTATGTTTGGATGGCAGTATCTATTGAAGTTAAAAACCTGACACTTTCACTGGTATTTCTCATCATCTCATTGATTCAAAACCTGCAAAACTGGGCATGGTAATTAAAATAATCTGATTATAATTGAGTTGAAATATGTAAAACAATTAAAGGCATTATGAAGTGATAAACATTAGTGATATTTTCTGAACCATATGAGGCTGCTTGTCACAATAATAAAAAAAGAACTTATGGAGTACTTTTAATATGAAATATTTGACCATATAAATGTTATTTCCGTGAAACCTTCATATTTGATTAAACGAGTATGACAAGTTGTACCACAAAAACAACAATACAGGTCGATAGCCTAAACAAGGCAGGACACAGTTAGAACATGGCTAAACAAATATACCTATGAAAATATATTTTTTAATACAGGCAGATTTTTCATGTACTGACTCTACTTTGTAGTCAGTTTGTCCCAATCAAACTGAGCCAACCTTCATGTCAAGGACCATCACTGGGGACCAGAGCTAACTGCTTCCCCAACAACAGATAGGAACAAACTGTATTTTAATGATTACATCGACAGGTTATTGACATGGTCTTATCTGACATTACAGACATATGAACACTTTTCTATCTATCTTTTTTCTTTCTATTTTCCAAACTAGCTATGACTTATGTGACCTTGAAAAACAAAACAGGAAACACAGATTGAGACCAAACATCTGATTTCAGTGGAAGAAGCTCCAGTGTCCAAGACAAAAAAGGTGCACCGAGAGTATATGTGTAGTTTGTTTGACATTACTGGGTGATTAGACCTGCAGCTTGTCCACCAGGCTTCGACTGTCAGCACCATGCTCTGTTGTTTTTGGCCACAACAACATAATCATCGCTCTGTACCAACCCTACTTCCAAGATTTGACTACCTGTGACTTCTTTCTTAACTGAAATTCAGTTTAAAGGGTCACTATTTTGACACTGCAGAAGAGTATTGGGAAATGGTCTGCACTTATACAGCATCTTTCTATCTTAGTGGCACTTTACAATGTGTTTCTCATACAACCATTCACATAACACATGACAATGGGAACAGAGCTGCAAGGACCTGCCTGCCATCGGGAGCAACTTTGAGTTCAGTGTCTTCTCCAAGGACACTTCAACTTTCGGAAGATCGATCCACTAAGCTTGCGATCAGTGGACAACCCGCTGTACCACCTGAGCCACAGCCGCCCATGAGTGCGTGTTGTGGATGATGAATGGGACCGTTGGGGAGCGTTGCAAACGTGGCAACAGTGCTTGGTGGGGTGTACCACTGCCCAAGGAGATTACTTTGAAAGGGATGGTTGACAATTTAAATCAGGTGTGATTTTTCCTTTTAATAAACACAGACAACATGTTTTGCTCATTACTCAGGACTGTGGCCAGCTGTACTGTAACTACCTGAACCTGTGGGGCTTTCATCTGTGTTACAGGCCACACTACAGGAGTTCAGGAGTACTGGGGCTACAATACAATCAGTTGTCCTTTCCTTTAGTGTGTTATATAGCTATATAGAAAATCCCAAGTTTTCTGATTGGAGATTCTTGAATCTGAACATTTACTGGTTTCTTTCTCCCTCTGTGACAATAAACTGATTATGTCTGAGGGTTTAGGACTCTTCTCTAATGATGCCAACACCAGAAAAACAGTCCAAACAAACCTTTGTTAAACAATAGTCAGGCGTGGCGGCAGTATGTACACAGAGACAGCTAATATGAGGCTTCAGCAGAACAATCAAGTGGATAATTTCCAAAGAGTTAGTGTATTCAAAACAGAATCCCCTCTTTGTGTTACTGTCCCTCCACTGCAGCTCAGGAAGGAAAGACTGTTGGGGGAAATGTGAATGTATCCTTAAGAGCAACATCATCAATCACAACTGTGAGCTCCACAGAGAGCAGCAGGGCTGCTGTCTGCTGATGTCTCCTCTGATTTCAACATCCTCTAACCTCAGATTGTGGCAGACTACTGTTGTGTTTAATTGCAATTGTATCTTTTTGATGCTCAGATCTCTACTCCACATTGTCTGGCTTTCAGCTTTCAAGGTCTGAGCCGGCTTACCAGGTTCATGCAGGAACAGCTCACGCCAAGAGCTCAGCAACATGAGCAAAAAAAAAGAAAAAAAAGAAAGGCAGAGAGCTTGAATTCCAAAAGAAGGTAAGGTGCACACAAAAACAGCCCTTCAGAAATGATCATATCCTACACATGGGGGTTTGAAAACGAAGAGGCTTCTTCTGAGCACCAGCACCTTTAATCCCTGCTCCAAAATACCAGGCCACCTCCTACAACGTCTCTTATATCAGTCCATGAACTACATATAGTCACAAAGACAGTGACACTGTGGATGACCCATCCCACATCCTGCAGAGCACACACAGCCTCTGAATAGATTCCCTCCAGCAGGCGTCTTCTCTGCCTGGGAGGAAGAACTGTTCGTGGGAGAAACACCTTCGTTCCTGAGACTGAACCTCAGCCCTCCTCTGTTACATCAGTGCACCAGAACTTTCAGTAAGGCCTGCACGACTCTGAACCAAGTACATTTTGCTGTATAGACGTCTGTTTCATTTCATTTACCCCTACCATGTAGCTAAAAAGTGAAGTAAAGAAGTTGCTGACTGTGAATCTTACAGGTTGTGTTGATGCCTCAGGTTTAGAACTGTCCAGCACTGCTGGGGTCGCACTGCAACAGGCGGACGATGGAGGGGTCGCTTTTCGCTCCTTTGATGAACTCCTCCAAAGACAGCTTTCCTAAAACATACACAGCACGAGCATGAAATCAGAAGAGAGACCATCGCTTTGTAAGTTAGATTTTAGTTCACAGCAGAAAACTGAGCCGGAGGCAGAGTGCTGGAGGTAAAGACACACAAGAGTCCTATTACGATCAGGACACCATCTAAATTGAAGGTCAAATGTGGTAACAACCACCTGTTTTAACAACACTGAGCCACACTGCATTCCCACACAGTGCAAGGGGTCGGGAATTACTCTAAATTATGGTGTATTTAGGTTTTTTTTTTTGTTTTTAACTAAGCTTTTCTGTATTTGTTTAAACATTCTGCTGTAATTATGTGGCCTTTAGAGTCTTGGTTTTTCGAGAGTACCTCAGGATGTAAGAAGGACCTGTCCATGTTTGTGCAACTCACCAGTGAACCAAGAGCCCTGAAAACTGCACCTTAACCCTTTTTACCTGAATCCTGGGGACGGGAGGTGGTGAGATTGCAACAATGTAAAGGTGAGCCTTTTATCTTTTTTTTGATTTTTCCACATAAAATCGGATTTAGTGCATCCTATGGTGTTGAATTTTCACCAACAGGGGGCAGTGTTGAGATAATTCTGCTTTTTTTCTGACCACCCTGGTGATAGATGGAGGCCCGCTGCCTCCCCAGTAGTTGTGCACTGCCCTTGATTCTCATCAGAAGATGCAAAATAAAGCCAGCATACTTCCACGTTGCGGTCAGCATGCTCTATCTTGCTTCATCTTGTGTCTTTGTTCTGCTGTCACTTTTCTCCCTGTTAGTCTTCCCTCCACCTCCTCCTCCTTTGTCTCTTCCAACCCACTCCTCTTTCACAACTCCACCTACCCACACTGCTCACTCAATCCTCACCATCCATCCATCCATCCATCCCCCCCCCCCAATCTTGTTACTGTTTCTCCTGTGCTGTGGGATCTCCACATGGAGAGTTGTATGTAGGTGCTGCTTGAATATCTATAGTCCAATTGAGTGCAACTCAAGTGTGTTTTGTGTGACTAACATTTCAGGTCAGGTATGAAATGTGTTGTCAGTGAGTGGCTTCTTCAGGTTGGAGCACTCTGTAATAGAAAACCAGGCTGGATTGTCAATGACAACAGCTGCCAGCCAGCTAACCAGGTGGCAGTGACAAGCTGTTCAATACATTTGCATTTTAAATGCCTGTTGTGCCTCCTTTCACACAATCAATCAGTTTCCACCAGATTGTTCTAAAATTCGTTTGATGTATTGTTGGAGAAGTACAAGTAAATTTAATATGCTTTGCATGTCAAGTCAGGTCACAATAAGACTCTGTGGGCATAGAGTGTGCTGACATTAGCTGATAGTACCACAGTGATGATTTTAATAGCAATCAAATGAACAATAAGTTGTTATAAAGTCCCTCTGCCACCATGGAATACATATGCACATGCAATGCATATACGCTATTACAAAATAAATCCTGATTTTACGGAAAATAAATTAAAAAATTATGTAATTTTTTAAATTGTATAAAAATTTACAAAGTCAAAGTAAAATAAAAAAGTATTATGCAATAATGTTATGATTATCTCTATTTTTTTTTCTCTCCAAAAATTGTACTATATTAGTTATACAGTTTGTTTCAGCCTTTTTTTAAACTGACATTCAAATTCACGTTAATGACAGTAATTATCTGTAATACAAGCATGCACTACTCTGAGGTTGATTCTGTCAGGCTCTGTACCCCCACTGGCTCTGCCATGGCAGCGCTGGAGTTTCTGGTGGTGCATGAGCTTAACTGTCTTCGTTGTGTGTAGATAGCAGGATGCCTGAGGAGTCTGGTAATGTCACCACACTGCTGCTGCTGCACTCAGGATGCTCTAATGGTTTTGTACTTTATCCTCTTGATATTTATTTAAGATATTCATTTATTTCAATAAAACTCTTGTAAATTCTGTCCCTCTCCACTTTACGTTGCAGCCCATGAGTCGGGTTGTGGCACAGAGAAAATCAATTCTCTTATTGGGCTCTGCAGGTGTATTTGATTGACATTGTTAATTTTCAGCTGAATAAAATGAAATGTGTTTAGAAATCAACAGTGCTGTGTACTTTGTCTTCCATAACAGGATTGCCATTTAACAATCATGGGCATTCGTTAACATTTTATCTAAGGTATTCGATTAGAATCATCCAGGAAAAATCAGTAAAATAACACCGTTTTGTTGTAGAATGTTTAGGTCTATGTATTTAAGGTATTTGATCATATTTATTTTGTAAAAATCTGTAACATTACAGTGTTTCTTTGCAAAACATACAATGAAAATTTCAGTAACTTTATTGTTTTTGCATTTTATTTGAATTAGGATATTCAACTTAAATCTAACAGTTTTTATTTGGCAGCAAACTACTCTCAGTCATGTGAAGTACTTTTTGTACTTTTTTTTTTTTTTTTACAGATTTTTTTGTTTGTTTTTAGGTGTATGTACAGTATACATATACATATGTGCATATAACCGTTGTGTTTAACTATTTAGGCCACCATTCGAGAAAGTACATAACAAGGAGTAACAACATGAAGGTACTACATCCTTATAGACTTCTTTCTTCATGAATGCTGCTTTCTAAGTAGCCTTGTAACCATATCTGAAGTGTGCTTAATTATAACACTTCAGCTGATAAATAATTTTCAGTATACTGATAAAAAAATACCAAACCTATGTGAGGTTTATTCTAAATGAAGTTACCCTACCGTCTCTATTGGTGTCCATCTGCCTGAAGATCTTCTCCGTCCTCTTCTCAGGTGTTGACTCGTCCTCAGGCATCTTCATCACAGAGGACACCATCTTATATATTGCCTACAAAGGGACACACAGTGGTCAGATAATCAGAGGTAGTTGCACGGTGTTATGGTACGAATTACTGCCCCCAGGAATTTCACAGCTCAATGGATGTCCATCTCACTCCTAGTGGAGACACATGGTAGCTGATAGGCTTGATTCTGCCACAGTTTCTGCTTTGGATGTTAACACATCACTCTACTCTATGTTAGCATATAATGTTCAATTCTGCAATTCTAATCAAACTTCTTTTTGCTTCTGCCTGCATTCACCACAGGTTTTGTGTTTTTGGGCTCTAAGTGGATGTTATGTGACAGTGGCTGTGTGTGGAGTCACTGTGCATCTTTAGCTTCTTCCATTTATTCTATTTTTTTTATTTTTCAGCATTAAAGCATGCTTCATGTTCTGTCCTCCAAGATGCCACGGTGGAACAAAAAAGTAGCATCAGTGACGTCTGTAAAACAATGCAACAGGTCGACATGTTGCATTTTCTACTTACCAAACTTGTCACTGTGCAACATTTGTCATTAATGATGCAAAATTCTAAGGATTAAAAAGTGCACAAAACCTCAATTTACTACTGGTTAAAGACTGAAGTGCAGAGTTTGTGGCCTATTAGAGTTTAGTGAATAAGTGAACAAGAGAAAGGGATTTCTGTTTCATTACAGACAAAACTTTGCTCTCTATTCATACAGCCTGAAAATAGCTCTTCTGTGCCACCTGTGGTTGTCTGCTCTCTCTACAACAGCTATACGCAAACTGCAACTATTGATGCACTGATCAGATTTTGTTAAATCAATATCAGTTCTTTGCCCACATGTAAAATCTGTGCACCCCAAATAAATCCTTTTAACCCTTTATTGAACAAGGAACCAGATATGGTAACTAACAGGCTTTAAAAATGAAGAATCACGTAACTTCATCCAGCCAATCAACAAAGGTCAGGCATCATCACAACACAGTCACGATGGCCTCTGACCAATCATGAGTGAGCCAGAGTGATGTTTTGACAAAAGTGTCATAAATTCCGTAAGTCAGACTGGTGATATGGAAATAAATGTTCTTTCATCTTTACATGTGTATTTTTTTTTCCTTTACAATAATGTATCCACATATTATTTGCATTTTTTTTTTACCCTATGTGGGCCAGGAATCGTATGTGGTGCTTTCACTTTGATTTGCAGCCTAAATCTGAAACTTCAAAAAAAAAAAAAAAGTCAAAAAAGAAAATATGTCAGTTTTTGGTGTTTCAAAGCCAGAGATATAGAGTGCTGTCTAACATGTCAGCCATCAAGCCCTATGGATGAGGACACAGTTATCCTGGAAGAGATCACTCCTATGAGGATTGAAGTGTTTCATCATAGAGACAAAGGTGATCACTCAGAACAACTCTATATTGATTTGCAGTGACCCCTTCCTTTAAAGGGATAAGTGGAACCAAACCAGGTCAGCAAAATGCCACTGGGGTCACCTCACTGAGAGGGGTCAAGGGTTCATGTCTTTCCTTTAATTTGTCACCCATCTGAATATTTATCTTTGGTCCAGACTACAGGAAATTCCTGTAACAGCTCAGTTACCTCAGAAACCCTCAGTCGTCGTGTAACAGAAGCTACAAAGACATAATAACTTTACAGGCTGCTGGTACTCATGTTGGGTTTTTATGTCAGTCCCACACATTAGCTGCTGTTAGTACAAGTAAATGTTGAAGGGAATTTGTGGTCCGTCCACATGATGCCAACACGGCATGAATATTTTGAGTTATTCCAAATCTGAAACTTTAGGAAAAGCTGGCAGTACTTGTCTTTCTGGTCTGCTTCTCTTCAGCGTACTTGACTGAAGATTCCTTCAGGATAAAAGCAACAAGGTGCTCACTTTGTTCTGTTGTGGTGGGACTTAATACAGTTAACAGAAAACACTATTTTCTACAGCCTCAGACAGAGAAAGTCGAGATCCCGGAAGGCCCACACAGAGGAATCTGCCACACATGGGATCTTATGTAACATGTCCCTGTGATAGTTCATTTATTGATATAAGGGAGATTTATCTGCTGTGCACAAAGACACACACAGGTGAGTGAATTTATACCATCAGTGCTTGCACCTATTCAAAATGTATTTCAACATGCCAGCTTGTGCACAGCTCCACTGCTCTGCGATTACATATTCATGGTTAAGGTAGTGAGGGGTGGAGACAAACATACGCACACACACAATCCCTTGCAGACTATTTATCAGTGTTGTGTCTCCTCTGCGCTCTGTTGCAATGCAGGCTGTTTGGCAGTAAACAGTGAAATCACAGCCCACTCTCTCTGTCTCTAATAAGAAGGCGGATTTGAGGGGAATGGGAGCTGACATGTGAATAGAAAAGGGCTGATTGTGATTACAGTGCAGCAAGAGCTTTATATAGGTGCTGGGTATGCTGCCTATTACACAGTAGCAAGGCAGCTCAGCTCCTGGGTCAAAGTGGAGCTGAGGGACAAACAAGACCGCAGTGAATATCAGCCTTCATTTCAGTTTGAAGCTGGGTCTGTTGTTAATTGAAATCCTTAAAACGGCTGAGTGTTTACTACATTTAGCCCATGTTACATACTAGGGATTTAGCTGATGGTCTAATCCAGAGCTACGCAGTCGAATAAGCTTAAATTTCTAAATCCCAAAATTACAAGCAACCAATAAGAAGTGAAACAATCTGGAGCTTTTAGCTCTCTGCCTACACATGGTGCTATGAGAAGAGAGAAATATAAAGTATTTTTGGTCACAACCCAGCTTACTCTACAAAGATTCCAATAAATGCTCAATTGCTAAATTTGAGCCCTCTAATAAGCACAATTATTGTTCCAATATTAAAATTAGAGGGCTTAAAGAAAGCTTTGGTGTCTGCTGCGTGGCTGTTGATTGGCAACAGCCTTCACTGATCGGCTGCTCCGCCGAGATCCAAAACCCAATCTGTACCAAATTCCAGACCTGGGGTGACAGGGCTTTCTCTATCGCCGCTCCCATCCTCTGAACTCACTCCCCAAAAGCATCAGAGAATCCTCCTCATTCTCCATATTCAAGAAATCCATTAAGACACATCTTTTCAACACTGCCTACAACTCATACATCCCCTTTCTCCACTACATTTTATTTATTATTATGATTTTATTTTACTTTTTAAAAATGTGCGTTCTTACCCACTTTCTGAAGCGTCTTTGAGTGTGTTGAAAAGCACTATATAAGTATTCCGTATTATTATTATTATTATTATTAGAAGCTACACTAACAATACTATCATAGGATGCTAAGCTAGTGTTCACTTTGGTTCCATGTCACAGGGAGTGTTTACAGGTACAGTGCTAGATTATGTCAAACCTTCCTAAATTCATTATTATATTCTCATTATATTACCATGACACCCTCACCTCAGCTGCCCTCCCTGGGTCTGGTTCTGCTGGAGGTTTCTGGATTTGTTGGGTTTCCCTCTATACTATACAATTGTAAGGTCTTCACCTTGCTATGTGAAGTGCCGTGGGATGACTAATGTTGTAGAATGGCACTATATAAATAAAGCTCAATGAATCTCCAGTCTATGCTTATGAATAGTGGTGCTTTGAGGTAAATGTTAACATAGTAGTAAGTTTATTCTTGACCATGTTCATCATTTTAGTCACATTTTAGCAGGCTAACATTAGCCAATTACAACTAAACACAAAGCACAGTTGAGGTTGATGTTATTAGTTTTGCAGCTCTTTGGTCATAAATCAGAATACTGGCCAAATGAAATTTGACCTGATGGTACGACATGAAAACTTCAGAGGTCATCAAACGTATAGTGACCAGTTTTAGAAGTGAATGCTTGAGGCAATACAAGATGTCCCTCAGTTTTAAAGACTTGCATCTTCAGCAGGAACCAGTGGGTTTGGGGCTGAGAGCCACAGAAAGGGTAGCTAGGTCAGCAAGGATTGAGGGATGGAGTTACACATTGTTGATTTTGGTCTTATTACCTTTATCTGTTCACGCAAGTAGTCTTTAGATACCAGGAAGTGTAATACTCCTGGACCAAAAATAAAGCCACTTAGTCAGTTTTGATCCTCTCTTTATCTGCACCCATAGACTACAATCTTTGTTACTCCAGGCTTATTTTTTTTCTTCACACGTGACACCATGCCAGCTGGTGTTATCCAACCCTCCTACTATGGATTCTCTTTTTTTCTCTTGCAGACTTTAACAATTTAAATTGCTTGATTTTTTTTTTCATTTCTCTGTTAGCAATTGTCTCCTTATTTGTCTGGAATGGCCATATGTGCTTTTACTTCTTTGACAGGCTTTGTCGAGCTCCAGCGATCTAAGCAGTATCCATTCTACAACCTGAATGCCACTGAGAAAAAAAAAAGAAGGCTCCTTTCATAGCCTTCCAGCAGGGAGCTTCCAGACAAGAACACAACATTGTCTCCTGTGAAGCCAGAAACAGCCTGAGCCACGGTCAAGAGGACAAACAGAGAGAAAAACAACACACAGTTACTCAGCCAAAGCTCTGGACTATTACCTGGCCACGTACAAATGTGAGGATAAATATCTTTTTGCTTCCCTCTACATAATACAGGAAAAGACAGATGTAGAAAGGCAAAAAGTGAGGTAGGTTATCTACTTGTTAAGAGTTATTTGCATTGGCAGAGCCAGCTGAACACCAGTGTTTAGTAGTAATAAGCACACACACACACACACACACACACACACATGCACACACACAGACACAGACACACACACCTACACACACACACACACACACACACACACACACAATACACAGACACACACAGTCTCTCGCCTCACACCACAGATGAATATGCTTCCCATGGTGACTTTATCCGTCTGAACAGCAATCTATTCACCTCCTGCGCCATTCTGTTCACTCTCGCTTAATTGCTATTATGAATGCTTTCTCCTTTCATTTTTTGCCAATCGAGACAATGATCTTCCCTCTGTGGCCGTCTGCTCCGCTGATAGAACTGTGTTTCAGATGAAAGGTAGACAGGGGTG